ATATATATATATACATATATATATATATTCGATCGGTGATGTTCTCATGAAACAAAATATATATTTTGCAGGGCATGGATATTTTCAACGAGCGAAAGGTATTTTCGCGTATCACCAAGTCGTCGTGCGGAAGTCAACTGCCGCAGTACTTTCTCATCACGCCCAAGCTCATCACTGGACTGGAATACCACCCCGACACCAAAGTACTTGTCATCTTGAACGGCCCGTACAACATCCTCCAGGCCGAGTGGGACGTCGATACCTTTGTAGCCAAGCGTCAGAAACTCATTTAACTAGTTGGATATGCACAAAAAGCCATGTTTCGTACTCTGGATTTGACAACAGAAGTCCATAGTAGCTCGATAGAGTTCACGCACTTGATATCTCGGCCATAAGAGTAGAATTACCACTGGTTTTCACGAGGGGTACTGACTGTACAATAGGGAGTTGGGTATTAATACTATGCATACTAGTATTAATAGTCTGAAATGTCCCTTTATTATTCGCTGTGAATCTCCAAACTTCACAATCACGCTGGGACTTCTGATTGGCTGAATATATATATTTACTTGTAACAGCCAATCCGATCCACTCATTATTGGGTTAGCCAATAGCGTCGATCGATATGGTGGCGAGATAAACGTGAGTTTTCGCCAGGAATGGCTGCATATATTGGGTACACTACCAAGTTATCAGTGATTTCCAACTTGAATATTTATTCTACTTGGTATGCCTCCATTTCATCCTTCTTTGAACACGGCTAGCGTTTTCTTGAGCGCGTCGACCAACTGCACGACCACGTACGCCTTTGTTTCTTGGCATCCCACCGACAAGGTCGTGGCGTCCGTCGCTGCATAAAACCGCGTGCCTTTGGAGTGCCGCATGCCATTGCCGGCGGCATGTTGCAGCGCGGACATCCACATCTCCACTTCGTCGGCCTTTTCCGCGATCAGCATCAGGTCCACCTCCATCTTCTCCGACAGCGCGGGCCCATCCACTTGCAACGTCGGCATCGGTTCCATCTGCACCGCGCCCTGAATCTTCCACGTCAACGGCGCGAAATCCGTTTTGGTGATTGTCACCCGGCCAAGGGGCACGATGAGCCGCAGTGCCTTGCGGGGGTAGAGTGCAAACACGTACAAGCAGTTGCGACAGAGTACACACCACCGCCGGCGCTTGGGCCCGCCCGACACGGACACGCGGAGGACACTTGAGAAGGACGTGTCGGACGGGTACACTTCCTGGAGGTCGGCCAGGTCGGCATAAGGCAGTCGGAAGCTCTTCTTCATGGCCATGGCAAACACGTTCATGGTGTGGATCGCTTGGGGGGTCTCGTGCTTCCACTCGGGCCGCCGCAATGGACCCGTAAAGATGCTGTTGACTCCCACGCGAAGATGCAGCTGGATGGCATTCTCGAGCACTTCAATCGAGTGGATCGACCGAAGCGGCACTGACCACTCCAAGATGGCGTCGTCCAGGACGCTGTCACTGTCCAGTTGGATGTACAGCACGCGCTTGTCTGTGATGATCACCCAGTGCGTCACTTTCACTTTGAGCGACGACGACGGATGATGGTTGAGGGGGCGGGTGGACGCCGTCGACACGACCGAGGCTGCGTGGGGAGAATAAATATACTGGACGTCCGTGGGGCTGTCGTTATCGTCGTCAAACACGTCGCAGCTCTCAAACGTGAGCGTCACAGGGCGACTCGATCCCTTGATGAGCGCAATGGTTTCTCGGAATCCAATGTTGCGAACGTTCACATCGCCCAGCTGGACGAGCACGTCCCCCGGCTGCAGCAGTTTGGACGTCACATCGCGGCTCGTGGTTTGCGCTTCGTGGATGGCGGATCGATCCAAGCAGGTCTTGATGATCACCGCCTCGCCTACCAAGATATCGATCAATCACCCGACGTTTCGATTTAGTATAGTATGTCTAGTAGTACCATAAAAGTCGGTTTCGAGCTCGAGTCCCAGCCCTTTCTTGGTAAACACGACGGCATACACGGCGCGCTTTCCCCGCTCCAAGTCGTCTTGGGATGATTCGTACCGCTGCATCTTCATCACTTGGCGATGCAATGGAACTGTCGTGTGCCGCGCGCGCGCTTCGTCGGCAAGTTCGTGCGCGTGCACTTGCTGGTCCAAGTGCGAGTGGAAAATGATCTTTTCATCCGTACCCGTCTTGCGCACGAGCATGTGCGCCACGACATCTTCTTCCCGGTAAAACTTTAGCTCGTTGAACCGACCAAATACCCGCGGAAGGCGCAACCTATGCGTTATATGTAGTTGTAGGCTCCGGATAGATAGATATACATTTGTTGACAAGGCTAGTGGAAACAATATATATATACATTGATTCGATCAGGCAGTGTATATATAGCAGCAATAGGTCGTATCGTACCCTCGACGACCGTGATGCACCGAGCGATTCCGAATGCCTTGCGTAGCCCTGGATGCAAAATCAAACACGCCCGCTACGGGTTTCATGGGCAGCCCCAGCAGCCCCGTCACTGTGCCTTTGAGAAACCCCATCGCGCCGTGGGTCTTGGCGCCTCGTAATGGGTTCATCACGACGCCCGTGACCCCTTCCACCATTCCTGCGACACCGTCAAATATCCATTGTTGACGTATACACACAGCCAACACACACATTGGCCACGTAGCACGAACGACATCGCAGAATGATGCACCGTACCAATCGTGAGCTCCCTGGACCCCTGAATCAGCCCCTCCTTGAACCCGTGCACGTGGCGCCGGCGCGCCTTGGCTCGGATCTTTTGATAATGGCCATCCAGGCTCATAGTAGCCAGCCCTTGGCCAAACGTACCCGTCACTTTGGACGTTGCGTCGGACGTGCCGTCGATGAAGTTTGTGACAAAACTGGTCGCGCCTTTGGCGAGTCCCTTGCCAAAGCCGAGGCCGCTGCCGGCAATCCCTGTGCCTGCCCGGGCGCCTTCAAACGGCTCTACAATCAAATCGCGCACCTAACCTTACATGTAAGCTAGACAACACAGAGTAATAGATGTCATTAGTATTGTACCGCCGTGCCCAAATGATCCAGCAAGCCGGCGGGGTTGCCGAGAAAGTCAAACGACCCGAGCACCTTGTGCACTTGTTTCCACAGCTGCCGCGTATAGTACTTGGACACCCGCCGAGTGACGTCGCCGCTCGTGCCAAACGCGTGCTCGACCACAAGCGCATTCAAGCGAATGGGGGCGTTATCCAAGTCGGGAACGTGCATACTCAAGCTGGGAATCCACGCGGCCACGTGCTGCATGTTGGCTTCATCTACGGGGTTCAATCAACGGAAACGAACGATTCTAGAAGTCCCACGGCGAGATCGTACCATCTTGGACCAGTTGGTCGGTGCTATCTTTGAATCGATCGCCAATCACGTCGCTGCGAAACGTAATATCCACCTCCACTGGGTGAATGTTGAGCACGGCAAAGTACACTTTTCGTTCCGACGACGACACAGTGTGCGTCTCGAGCAGCGTGGCGCTGTTGAGCGGATCGAGTTCTTCGCACTCCATGGCGAGTTTGAAGTCGGCTAGTATTTGGCTGGTGCTCGAGTCGTGCAGAAGTGGCGCGGTGTGGATGGCGTCGGGTAAATCTCGCCGGCGAAGGCCGTTTTGGTGGAGTAGAACCTAATCCAAGGTCGTTATATATTACAAATAGCATGGAAATACGAGCTGCAGCAACCGTACCGACGCCAAGAAGTCCCGGATAAGCGACACGAGTTCTTCGTCCAGCTGCAGCAACATGGGGGCCACGTACAGCGAGCAGTACTCAAAGTAATCTGTCGACCCTTGCTCGTTACTCCACCCGCAGCAAAAGTGAAACACAGCTTCATGTTGCGCAGTTGCACAATCTCTGCACACAACGTCGTTAGGCGGGTCGGTTGGATCTGTTTGTTTGGGGCACAAGAGCGTGGGAAACGTGGCTTCAGGCACTTGGTTGTCGGCTTGGACGTCGTGCCACGTCACGCCAAAGCGCATTTTGTTCTCATGACGGTCAAATGCAATGTCCACGCCTTGCAGGCTCATGTAAATCAGCTCCATGGGCTTTTCATTCACGCAGCTCAGCCCAATGCTGGCCACATGAACTGCCACATGCACATTTTGCAGCCACTCGACCTTGTCCGTCGACTCGACGGACGCCACATCTTCCAACACATTGTCCAGTGGAACCACCGCATTAGCCCCGCCACACTCGTCGTCTTCTTCGCCTCCTTCGGTGAACTCGAGCACTTTAGTAGGCCCGTCCGCCCTCACCCGAGCGTACACGTACGTTTTCGTGGTGGTCTTTGCATCTGGTTCGTGGGTGATTCGGGCGTGGTGGGTCGTCGAGTGGCCTTCGTGCATGGCGTGGATGATAGCATCGCGAATGTGTCTGCACCACACCGCGGCGTCTTCGGGGGAGTCGGCGCGCAAGTGGTACGTCTTGCCGCCTGGAATCCCAATGGAGAATTCACGCGTCGACGGCGCGGCAGGCGGCGTGGGCACCAGCACACGATACAAAGTGCCAGTGGGTTCAAACCGGATGTTGTCGAAATCAACGTCAGGTGGCGGGTTCCACAGCCCCAACACGCCGTAGTACAAGAGTTGCTGCGCCAGGTCCAGCGCAACACCAGTGGAAGGAGCCAGTTGCTCGGCCATCAAAAACGCAATCACGTCCAACCCCGACGCGAGAAACAGCTGCGACGGACTCAACTCGGTGCCGTTCAAAGTCAGCGCTTGCAGCCACTGGGCGGCCTTCGTCACCATCCCGTCCGACATGCGCAAGAGGGATCCAATCCATAAGAAAAACTCTTCGCAATGCGATGGCGCGGCGGCCACCGACGAGTCGGACGCGGCGTTGGCTTCTTCCCCAAATAGGGTTTCCGTGATGCTCTTGGCCATCGTGTGCAAGGGATTACTCGCGGCAGCCTTGGACATGGCTTGGGGCTTGTATCGAGGTTTCGACCATCCCTTGAGGAACAACACGGCGCCGGTTTCCGACTGGTTCATGCCCAAGTCAATCACTCCGCGCAACGCGTGGTCGTGCTCGGTCATAAAGTAGTACACCATGTGATCATGCAGTCGGAAATACCTACAAAAAACGATAGTTTTAGCGGCCACCCTGGAATTTCATTCTCACACAAATATACAAACCATGCACACTACTCATATTTGCACACTACTCATATTCGAATATGGAGCTTGATGCATGAAATGATCTAGTCGTAAGGCGAACGGATGGACGTACGTACCGCTTGCTCCAATTGATGGCATTATCTTTCTTCGACAGAATGCCTTGGACGGCACACCCGTCAAAGAGCGACGCAGGCAACGACCGAGTCAGCTGGATGCGCTTGTGCTTTTGCATCATGTCCAAGTTGTACTCCTTCGTGTCCACGACAGCATTGGTCACGTCCAGCGCGAGCGACGACGATACTTGCATGAAGCGTACGTCCAGGTACCGCTCCAGCACGAGGGTCTGGTTGCCGTCGGCGGAAATCACTTGGCGGCCCTCGTGGTTATCCCACGAGTACGGCACGCAACTCCGCGGCCGCACTTCGTCCCACACATCGCGCTGCCACTGCGTCTGGCGAAACTGCAGCCGGAATGACGTAAAGTTATCGATACGGTACGGCGGCCACCGCTTGCTTTCGTCGCGAAACACACACACGATGGACCCGCCGACCATGTCGAGCTGCGCCTGCAAAATGTAAATGTCGTGGACGTCGGCCTTGCCTCGCAGTTTCAAATGCGTCGACCCTAACGATGCATTAGATACTCTCCAGTCGATATTCCACAATCATCGTCCATAACTAAATATTAATACCCAGCGAATGGATCGTGAACGGCCCCGACCAGTCCATTTCCCCTTGGGCAAACGTCACTTGAATGCTCTTGCGTACTTCGTCTGCCTTGTCCCAGTGAAATGGTTTCATATCGTTCACATGCAATGTTGTGACAGTGTGGCAGTTGTGCTGGCGGTACCACAGCGGCTGCGACGTTTGGTTAATCAGCACATACCGCGGCACGATCGTCGTCACGATCGTGTCTCGAAACACGCCGGGGCCATAACAACTCCACAACGCGAGCTCAATTTGTTTGCTCGGGTTTAGCCGCGACTGCTCGCTCTCTTCGACCAAAGTCAGCAGCTGCGCCACGCCAGAGTTGCCGAGCGCGTTGCGATGGATGCGCACCGCGTCGGACCATCCAGATTTGAACGTTTTCACGCGCAACGTGTCCCATGACGACCCTAACAAGTCAAGCCTTGTCGAATATTCGAAATTCGAGATAGTGCTCAGTCGATATGAGCAGAATCACCAAATACACAATCGATATACGACCAATGAAAACCCACAACAAGAATCAAGTGGCCAATCTAATCATCCACTCACATTCGACCAATTCAACGTCGAGTATTCGTGTGAGACTGAAATTAGGGTATAGTGAACAATCTTTACATACAAATGATCGCTACATTTGGCGATTCAGCACAAAAGTCCACATTTTGGGTAAAAGAATGACAATATAACATCACAAACAAGAACGACCGGCAAACGTACCAGATTTGGACCCAAAGTTGATGGCTTCAGCCCACTCGACGGGCACGTTTTGGGCTGGTTGGCGGTGCTGCAAAAGTGACCGCGGGGTCGTGTGGTGGATGCTGGCGGTGCTCATCTCATCGTATAGCCGCAGCGTGTTGAACGTGGTCTTGTGGCACAAATGAACTCCGAATTTCTTGCCTAGCACTTGAATCGGACTGTTCTTGTCGGTCAAAACCGCGCCAAACCAGCGCTCGGCTTCGGGGCGTCCGGCACTGCGCAGCGACACGAAGCGGGGCAACCGCAGCTCCACTACGACAAAATCGCTTGGGGCCAGGACGAGTCCCCCCAGCGTCGCCACCTTTGCCACCAACTCGACGACAGTCGTGCTGGGAACCACCGACACCACCACAGACATGAACCGGTTCGTCGGAAGGTACACGGTCAAGTTGTACGGCGTATCGCCATGCGTGGGAACACTCCGTCTTGCTTGCTGTCGGGGGGTGGTCAGCACGGTGCCCCACACCGCACCGGGTGAGTCAGCCGACTCGATCAAGTGTTTTGTGGCCAAAGTGATAGACATGTGGACTTGCCCCGCGGACGCTGCTTCCGTCGGCCCTTTTTTGGACGACGATCTCTTCTTTACCAAGTCATGCCATTGAAACCCAGCATACACATCTCGATTCGAGATGACGTCGGACAAGGGCAACGTCACTGTGTCATTGAATGTGAGATACATAGATCAAATGATGGCATATATCACTCGTACGTACCAATGCCCAACAACGCTTCCGAGCCGTACCATACCGATCGCATCTCGACCACAATGCGTGCAAACTGCAGTTGGTACGGCCCGCCGTGTTCTGGAAACGGCAGGTACATGGTATTATTCACCTTGAACTGGGGATGTTGGCCGCCGCCGACATGTGCTTTGGTGGATGCAAAGCAAAAGAGACTGTCAACTAGGTCTTCATTCCGCGACTGCTTGGGGATGAACAGCGACGCGCGAACGTATGGGTTTTGCGTCCCCACCAGTTTGTGCGAGTTGAACAAGTCCCTGGCTTCGCTCACCACGACGTAGATGGCCACGGGCACAATCGACGCCGACTTTTCAAACAGATGCAAATCGTCTGGGGCGGCTACGGGGGATGACACGGACAAGCGCTGGACAAAGTTGGTGCTGGCGAGCGACCCCGGGCGGTTGTGCACAAACGTGAGCGCTGTTTCCATGGACTTTCGGCTTAACGCGTCGCAATACTCGAGCGCCATGCCCGCATGGTTGACAATCCACAGCGGACTGAACACGATCACGTCTCGGTCCTTTCGCTTGAGCTTTAGCTGAAGCTCCGGGACTTGGCCTACACATGCAACACGGGGTTACGACCAGTATAACCACAATATGAAACGACGAACGTTGCGCGTTCTTGTAGGTCGTGGCACTCGGAAACGACCGGCCACATATTTTTATCCCTTCCACCGACTCTTTGAAAGGAACGGGACACGATTTGGGGTGTACCATCGTCACAGGTTCACTCCAGTTGTAGTTTTCCAGCCGATACGACACCAACATTTCTTCGCTCGCGTTGATCTGAAAGAGGGGAAGGATATCCCCGACGCCCAAAATGCCTTCCGCAACCTAATCGCATACATCATTCATACATGAAAATACCGTTTTGTACTACTAGTTGATACCAATTGCAGCGATTGCTCTAAAATGCGGTACGCCACCGGGCACGCAAGTCGGTTGTGCAGGCTCAAGCACGGTTTCAACGTCAAAATGTGCGCAAAGTGCTCGGACTGGACGCCCTGGACATGTTTGGCCTGCTTGGCTTCTTCCAGCACGTCCACGATTGGCTGGGACTTTGCAAACGTACTGGCGTCTTGGTCGTCGTCGTCTAACTTGAGCAGCGCGTCAAAGATATCGCCGTCGTCGGCGGCGGCGTCCTCGTCGTCAACGGCCAACGTCGCCGACCCCCGGCGCACCGAGGAGGTGGTCGTCGACTCAACGGCGGTGTTGATCAGCGCGAACGCCTCCACGTCAAACACACACTGCCACGGGGGCAGCTCCCGCACCACCATGCCCGGCAGCACCTGCATCGACAATACACTGGACGTCACGCCGTTCGCTTTGTACTTGCAACTGCACGTGCCCGTGCGCACAAAGCGTCTGCGTTGCGTTTCAAAAGACAATTCACACGCCTTGATGTCACCGTCGAACATTCCAAATGTCGACGCCAGCGGCGCGTAGTCCGTGTCGAGCGATGGCCGAATGCTCAGCCGCGCTTCGGGATGGATCAGGTGCAGCGGAACGTATGACGTGGCTTCGCGGTCGACGATCCACTCCTCCACCATCCCAGGGGGGGCGTACCCCCACACGATCAGCGGCAGCCCCGTCTCATTCGTGAGGAGGACTTGGGAGTGAATGTGGATGAGTTTGCTCCCGTCTTCTTGTAGACTGATCTCCGCTGCGATCACTGGACACGGCACATGGTGGTTGTCATCTGTTATTGGTCCGTCTTCTACATGTTTCAAGCAGATCGAAATGTGGCCCACCACGTCCACAGTCACAGGGTGCGCACTCATGTACAACGACCCAGTGATCCACAGGAACCTACGCTCGATGCAGATTAGTATACATAACTCACAAACGACAGGTTCGTCTAAACGTACAGCGAGTGTTGCGCGGTGAGGGTGTTCTTCTGGAACTGCAGCGCGTCCAATTCGCTGGCCTTGTCGAACGTCCGGAGGTGGGTGACCTTGTCTCGGCAATCAATCGGCACAACCTGTCCATTATCGACCGTGTCCTGGATAAACGAGTGGCCGTGGGCAAAACTGAACTGGACGCTCGTGCCGAGGCTGTTTTTGAGCCAAAACGGCGTCGTGACCTTGGCCCCACTCGCGACAATGTCGTCGGCCAAGAGCAGATTGTCCATAAACAAGATGGGCGTCATCGCCGGCGTCAAGTTGACGTTCAAGGCGAACGGAAACATGAGATGCACACTCAACGACGTCGAGAGGACGCTGTCGCTGTGGATCTTGAACGGTTCGATCAGCGGTTCCCATCGGTAGATGCTGTTGTTGAAGTAGTTGCAGCGGAAGATACCCCCCACAATCATCACGGCGTCGGTAGTATTCACATATTCACATCCGATTTCAGTCATGACGATGTCCAAAATCGGCACACCCAGGCTGTTGTTGACCATCACCACGCGCAGCCCTCCAACGTCGGCCAGCAACTTTTCGCTCACAATCCGAGGGGGAACCACCACCGCCGTCAAGTCAGGGCCGCAAGTGCTGCCAGTGGTAGTATCCGTGTTGATATAATTGTGGGCAATGTTGGACAGCAGCAAAAAGTCTTGTACGGACAACCGAGCTTCCACGGGAATCACGTGCATTTTGCCGGATTCGTCGGCATATAGTGACAGCGCGTAGCGTTGTGTGGCATCAACAGACGTCGGACTGTGGTGGACAAACTCCATCAGGTGCATGTACTGGAACGTGAACGAGTTCATGAGCGGAAAGTCCACGTCCACGGCCAAGTCTGGGAGCGATGAAAAGTACAAGCCCCGCGGTTCCAGCGCCAAGTCCACCTTGGTTGAGCTCGTGTTGGTCGGGATGTGTTGGGTCCAATTGTAGTCGATTCTCACTTCCGACATCAGCACGAGAGCGCTACATACAGGCATCGATATCGATCCTTCATAGACGGACGGGCGAGATATTTCTTCTTGTTCTTACCGTGTGTCGGCTTTGGCAAAGTCCTCCAGCAAGTAAAAGCAACATGCTTTGTCAAACGCGACGCTTACGTCCATACTCGTCCAGTCGACCACTGGCCCCGCCACAAACCCCGTCATCGCTTTCTCCTCAGCCATCCAGAACGGCCACGTAAAGAAACTCGACACCATTTGCATCGACGACGGCAAGATCACAACGTGGGAATGGCCAATCTTCACCGAGTACGTCGACTCCGTGTACGATGACGTGGACGTCATGTGCACCTGCGCAACGTCGCGGATGGATTGCGTGGGCTTGATAAACGGGTCTCGGAGCACGTCGTCGTCCGACACGGTGAGCCCCACCACCGACACGTCGAACGCCAGGTCGTCGCTCGTTGTCATGTTGATCTGGACGTTCAGTTGCTCCAGATCCATCTTGACCGTCTTCTCCGGGCCGGCAATTGTCTTGTGCAGCGTCACGCGCGCGTCCATGACGTCGATGGTCACCCGCAGCCAGTCCACATTGCACACGGCAGTATCGTCGTGGAATCCGCCGCAATTTGCACATCGCGGCCACAGGTTCTCGTTGACAATGTTGTTGGCTTCTTTGAAGTTCTCGTAGATCATCCCCACGATCGTCCCGTACTGGTACTCGACAAAGTCCACACTCCACTCGTTCAAGCGGATACTCACGTGTTGCACCGTGTACGCCGCGCTGTCGAGCCATGCCGTCTAGAGTACTTTGAGATTGCACTCCATGCGAAATATATGGGGAGTAGTACCTGGAAATCGACAGAGCACACGGCCATGGCTTGTTCAAATATGGGGTGGTCCGTGTCCACAGCCCTCGTCTCAGGGTCCACCGCCCATCCGCTGAGCCCAATCAACTCGAACGACAGCCACGGCGTAGCTGGCCTCGCCGCGCCGTCGTCGGTGGCGTCGTGAAACGCTGCATCTTCTGCGCCAAACAACGACCCGAAAGTATATTCAGGTATGCTGGTCACAGACGACTGGATCATGTCGAGGGAGCGGCTGCGATACCTTCCGACGACTTGGACTTGGTCCTACATGATGATGTCAACATGATAACAACTACTACTTGCATCCCACAGATACCATACTGTAAACTATAGAGTAGGTACCTCGGACACTTTGGTGGCTTCGATCTCTGCCTCGATAAACGCCAAATGCGTGTGCAGTTCGTCCAGATGTTGGTCGAGCGAGTCCAATTTAGCCTTGAGAATCGAACATGCTTGTTCGGCGTGCAGAAGCGACTCGACGCGGCCACCTCCGCCATGCATGAATCGCTGCGACTCCCTCGTCGCCGTCTTGTAGTCGGCGTGGAGTCGGGAGTGGCTCACGAGCAGTTTGGCCCGCTGGTTCTTTACGAGGCGGCGGAGGTGGCGGAGTTCCAACCGCCGCAGTTCGTGGCGACGCGACACCGTTTCGACAAAGATGGCGTCGACTTCTTGTTCATCGAGAAACAACCCACTCGTGACGAAATCGTCTGTGACAGCGTGCGCCGACTGAAACTTGGCGCTGGTACTTCGCAACAACAGCAGTTCGTTCGAGCACGAATTTCGAGGCAAACTCAGCGACAGGTCATGCGCCACCACTTCCCAGCGAACTTCAGGCCACTCATCATCTCCCCGTCCATGCGCTGGGGGCACGGTGCTGTTGTACTGCGCGTACACGTTGGCCACGTCAGCGGCGCTCACCGGGACGTACAGCGCCTCGTGCAAGTGATACCGGCAGAAGTAGTCGACTTGTTTGTGCACCCGTAGCAAGTACGTCAAGGCGACTGCATCCAGCCGGAGTTGGGTGAGAAAAACCCGAAGCCCAGAACTGTCTTGGGTCGACGCGAATCGGAAATCCACGTGCTGCAAGTTGTCGTCCCGAGTGCCCGATACGATTGGTCGATGGCGCAACGGGGCGGCTCCAGTGGGGGAATGCGCGCCGTCTTCGACGCGGAGGTTCTTGACCGTTCCCCGGGCGTCGGCAGTGACATCGCAGTTCGGATCGTACAAGAGACTCGTGCTCGTGGCAAATGAACAGCTGACGGACGCTACATGCAGCGCCTCGTTGGAAGTGCACATGTCGCACCCCCCAGTGTGAATGCCATCCATATCGTGGTGGTACAAGTTCACGTGAATCCCTTGGTCAAGCCATATGCTGGTTTCCGACACACAGTGCGCCATGTCACGGGGCAAAACACTCGGGGTTGTTGGAGGGGCAGTCGCCTGTTGCTGCTGCGGCAGAAGTGTTCCTCTGGATAGAGTCAAATGTAGCTGCCCTTTGGTCCACCACTCGAGCGCACGCTTGACGAATTGATCCGACACGTCGCACTGGATACGTTCCAATACGCAAATGTGCATCAAAGTGGCATCCTTGTCGCTCAAGTTGAGCTGGTTGGAGAATTCAAACGCCGAGCGAGGACAGCTGGCTTGATCGACGGTGCACCCGCCAGGCAACGACAGCACGGGAAGACCGCGTACTTTGTCTGACACTGTGAACGCTCCAACCGAGGTGGTAGCATGAAACACTCTGGTGCACGATGTGCTGGCATACACCAAGTCTTTCACGTCCACTTGTCCCCACGGTTGCAGTGTCAGCACAATCGAAGGGACTCTTATGTCGATGGAAAGCCAGCACAATGGAGGAACGCTGGTGTTGGTACAAAGTACCATCGATGACGACGGCGGTTGGCCTGAAGGTTGAATATGTTGCTGTTGGCCACCCATCATCCACATTCGAGAGACTGTGCCACACAATGCCATGATGTGAACGAAGTCGTCGTCGTGCACACTCACATGGATCGGAGGCAAGGTTGCTGCGAATGCGTAGAGCGGGGACTCGGTTTCTTTGGTAGAAAAACGCAAGTCAAAGCCGGTGCCGTGGGAGGTCCGGACGATCGGGACCGCCGCCGCCGCCACGTTTGTAAACGTGTGGCAGCAGCGACAGCACTCGACTTTAGGTCCTACTTCATGCCTCGTTGTGAGTGTGGCCGAAAGCGATTCCAACGACAAGATTGATCTGTTTTGGCTCGAAACCAGCGCCATCGACTCCAGCGCCATCGTGGTGGTCGTTGCCGGCACGTCAGGGGAGCTGGTGGTTTGCACCGACAGCGCCGTGAGTCGCCCTTGCAGCGTAAAACACGACGGTCCGACCTCCACAGCGACATCCAACGACCGCATGCGGATGTCAAACAGCACTAGAGATAGCTCCGACGACGCGTTGTCCAGAGGGGCGGGCGGCGGGGGGCTCCGCGGGGCTTCGGCGTACCACGTCCAGAGCGGCAGCAGCAGCGCACTCCACTCAGACACGCACTTTTCACTGATTGCAATGGTCACAGGACTGTCCATCCAGCACTTCACGACGGTGGGGGTGCCCACGGCTCGGCTGTCGAGTTCAGGCAACGTGCATGCAAAGTGGAACCACGGCACGTCGCGGATCGTCATGTGCTCCATCACGACCGACTCGACGCCGCCGCTTTGGATTTCGCGCACGCGCAGCGCGTGAAGCGTCACTTGGACGTCTGTTTCTACGCATGTTTGGCGCCATTGGATGTGCAGGCCGTCCATGGAGCTGGCCCAGTGGACACCCTTGTTGGTTGTGTCGTTATCTCGAGGGATGACGGAAATCGCCACCGACGTCTCCACCGCCACGCGGACGCTCAAGCTGGGCGGCGCCACTGCATCCTCAAACACATCGTCGTCGTCGTCGTCGTCGTCGCTGTAGGGCATGGTGGTGCCGTTCGTCGTGCCGCCGTCGATGCAATCCGAGAGCAGCCACTGTTTGGCATACGTCAACACGAGCGCAAACCCCTGGACCTTGCTCGGCGCGAGCTTAAAGGACTCGTACTGGTCAAATGGGGCTTTGACTTCGCCCAGGATTGCGCCGAGGACGTCGACGTGGCTGGCTTCAATATGGACGGGCAGGGCTCGATGGGATACCTCGGACTTGGCGCAGGACATGCAAGATGTGTTGAATGAATTCGGCATGGGCACGTTGGATGATGAAAACATCATCTGAACGTCCACATCGGGCACGGCGGCACTCGCGCTTTGGTACGACAATGTGGCCTACGATGGCGGTGTTTGACAAGTTGATATTTGAGCGGATTGTGTACCTTGATGTCGCTGCACCAGTCGTGGATAAAGTAGTGGTGAGACTTGTCTGCGTACAACTCGACATAGGACGAGATGCCGTCAATTTGAAGTCTCTAATGTAGTAATGTAGGTCGTGATGGACATGGTGGAAGCATCGAGCATGTAAGCATGTACCTTGCGTGAAACATTGCCGCCTTGTCCTGGGTCCACAAAGGTAGGCTCCCAATCTCCGCCAACGTTTTGAAGAACCACACGTTGTATCGAGAACACGGCGAATCCCGCAGCCTAATGAACAACATAAGGTCAATGGATTGAGCAATAGTACGGGATGTCAACCTTGCTTCGGGTATCGTCGGCGCATTCGCACTGGATTTCGATGTCGTCGATCTCGACCTGAACATTGCCAATGATGCACGCGAGTAACTTGGACAGGTACGTTTTGTCTTGTTCATCTGTCGGTGCAGTCGCCGCGCCTGTCTGTACAGATGATCCGTCCGACGGATTGGAGTTCGCATGTGCATAGATTCGAATGTGTTGGGCTTTGATCACCACTGGCTGGCTCCACAGAGATCTCCATGGCACCTGCACCTGTAGCTCGCCAACTTCACCACGGCCGTATCCGAGTTTCAACTGGATGTTCTTGAAGGTGAGATCGCCATCCCAAATGCTCAGGTTCAGCTGAGATGAGTCTAGCGTGAGGAATTTCCCCAGCAGGCGCTGGAGCATCAACGCCAGGGCTTGTTGGATCATCCTGCCTTGCCTTCCCGAAGAGTGTTGTGTCCTTGTCGACGGGCTTCGTCAATCTTGCGCACCCAAAGTCGACAGTTTTAGCCAATCACGTGTCTCTTCTAAACATCCGACCAATCAATAGCGAGACTGGAATTGAAATCACTGTAAAAAATGACATTTTTAAAAACCGCGCTGTCAATCCTTGAAAAAAATAAACTTTTTCATGCATATTCCACGGTTTTGTCCGAAACTACTTTGAAAACACCTTTAACGTAAAAGTCCAATTTAAGAACACTTTTTTTCTGAGACGCTGCCGTGGAAGGCATGTAACTCGAGTCGTAGGTATCGGATTATAATTCTAGAATATGTTACATGATGCCAAAATCCAGGCCTATTTGGGAGTTATGAATGCGATATAATTCCTGTTATAATTCATTATCATTCACATCACTTTGTCCAGGAACAGCTTAAAACAAGCAGTCCAATTTAAGGTGCACCATTTTAATCTTTATAGTCTTTGTATAACCATTTGCTTATTTTTGGGCGGGTTGGGCGGGTAGGTTAAAAAGTGCCTTTGTAGGAATTGATTGGCTAATTCCCGTGCCCCTTAAATTGGATCGAGCACCTTAAATTGGACTTTTACGTTAACGTTATTATGGATTCGATAGGTTATCGAATTAATAGGATTTTCGGATGAGATTTTTGAAAATGAACACTCGAAATCAACCTTAATTTTGGACTTATTTTGGATTTACGCTGCTTTGTTGGCCAATCACATGCCAGACTCGAAATAGTGTGAGAATCATGGCTCAAGTTCGACGGAACGATGTGCGTGTCATCATGGTTGCTGGCGGCGCTGGCTTCATGGGATGTAACTTTTCCAGGCACATGCTGCAGCGCTATCCTTCGTACAAAGTCGTGGTGTACGACAAGTTGACGTACGCTGGCAATTTGGGCAACTTGCACGACATCTGCGACGACCCTCGCTTGATGTTTGTCCAGGGGGACATTTGCGACGCCACTTGTGTGGATGCTGCCATCCTTGATCATGGCGTGGACACCATCGTCAACTTTGCAGCCGAGACCCATGTCGATCGTTCCATCTTAAACCCCGACGCATTCATCCACACCAACGTGCTTGGGACGGCCACCTTGCTCGACAGCGCCCGACGCCATGAAATCCGCCGCTTCCATCAAATCAGCACCGACGAAGTGTACGGCCAAGTGCAGGCCGAGAGAAGCAGCGTTGAAACTGACAGGTTGGACCCTCGAAGTCCGTACGCTGCCAGCAAAGCCAGCGCCGACCTGCTCGTGGTGTCGTACTTTGTCACGTTTGGGCTTCCCGCGACCATCACACGAGCGTCCAACAACGTCGGTCCGTACCAGTACCCCGAGAAGGTGGTACCACTATTCACGACCAACGCCATGGACGACTTGTCTTTGCCAGTGTACGGAGACGGCCTTCAGCAGCGAGAATACCAATACGTGGCGGACCATAGCGAAGCCGTGGACGTGGTGCTTCATCATGGTGTGGTCGGTGAAATTTACAACGTCGGGACAGGGAGCAATCCCATGACGAACATGGCCATGGCGGAGCTGGTGCTGGAGTCTGTGAACAAGCCCACAGACCTCATTCAACATGTGCAAGACAGGCCAGGCCACGACCTGTGCTACCGTTTGAATATAGACAAGCTCCGACGATTGGGGTGGCAGCCATCGCATTCGCCCCGAGAAGCCGTCAGTAAGTCCGTGCGATGGTATGTGGAAAACGAATGGTGGTGGCGCCAGGTGAAACGAAGCGATGCCTTTCAACGGTTTTACAAGGATCAATATGGTCACCGGATGATCCAATCAGCCGAATAAGCTGGTCCAACTGTAGCCGTAGAGAGCGATAAAACTAGATGACTGCTGCAGGACTGGCACTTGTCTTAATCGAGTTGTTCTGTACTCCATTGTTGGAGCATTCCAAGGACAAATACTTCAACATATGATTCACCATCGTTGAAATCTCTAGAATGCTACACACTTGAATAAGGTTGACTTGTCGGAGGCAACCCTACGTATACACATACATACACGATGAGTTGCTGGTTTGAATCCTGTTCGTCACGAACGTACAGCAACATTTGACGGTGCTGGAGATGGCGGCTACTACCACGACAGCTAGCAACACCATCCAACTGACTGCCGCGGGTTTGGTCATGTCTTGAAAGGACGTGACTGGAGGACTCCCTCGATTGCCCTCCATCGAAACATACACAAACAGTGAGAGTGAAGAGAGGACCGACACCACCCCCCCACACATGAACGCCACTCCCGCCCCGTATGCTTTGCGAAACAGCGTAAAGTCACTACAAAGTCCATTGTACTATTTACTTTCGTGCAACTCGGAAGTCAAGACAAGCGAATGCTGGGAAAGTACCTTGGATGCACCCGGGAACTATTCGAGGACGCGTCCACAAGGAACAAGAGGGCATGCGTTATCCCCGAGAAGAGAACGCCACCTTCGATGATCTACCCATTCGCTAAAGGTCAAACGAAGTTGGTATCGGTGGACATGGGCACCTCTGGACGGTGAATAACATACGAAGCTACTGCCGCCGACACTGCTACGGTCAACGACAGTGCGTTTATCGAGCGTAGGTATCGCGTGTTCGAGCAGCATGTAAATGCAAACAACAGTACGACCACGACACTTCCGCATACAAGTCGAGGGATGGTCAGGGCACTGAAGAACGTATACCGTTAGGAACGAAGCATATATTTACCTAAGGTGATCACTTACCTGCACACGATAAACACGCATCCAAGACATAACGACCCAACGTAGCCCTACCAAGTTGTGAACAATTGTCCGCAGCAACAGTGAACTCCATGGTTACGTACAGCAACATGCACGAGAACGGGAACGCCTCCATGAAAGGACGTTTCTGACCCTTCTTCGGGATGAATGTCGATGGCTTCGACCTATTCGAACATGTTCTCATGGGGTCAAAGAGGTAGGTAGTACTGGGTGGATGTGTATGTTACTTGGCCACACGTAAGCTTGGCTGCTCCATATCGGAAGGCTTCGTGTGCGAAGTATGCGCTACAAACCCAAGCGAGTGTGAATTGAAGCCGTGATATGGCAACGTAGTGTCGATGTCGTACAATATTTTGGTCGGATATAGCCATGGCCACCGCCACCTACACAGTAGAATTGGTCAGCTCTTCGCTTCCTTCGTTGTGAGAGTTACATGTAAACCATCAGCACACTGTACGTGCCAATCCACGCGAGCCTAATCAGCTGGCCGTCATTGCAGCAATCAATGGTTGTCCATCTCTTTGGCTCCATGCCAGCAAATGTAGCTGGGTACTGTACAACAATTGATCGCACAGGTACTGTGTAGTGTTTGTGTATCCTTCCAATTTACGGTACGACGAAAGGTCACCATTTCGGTCGAAATAGCTGATGCAACTTGCCCTTTCAGATATTTTTGACACAATTCTGACTTGACCGTGAATTAGTCTTTCCAGTTCGCCAGGAATAGGCGTCCTATACAGTCGTCCCCCATATTCCCAAACGTTCAATGCTACATATTTGCACACGAGGCATTTCAAATGCTACGCAAACTGTGTCATCATCTATTGCAATTCGCAGATTATATTTCGAGTGTGTTGCCAGCTGTGAGCAACAAAAAAATTAACTTGAGCGCCCTACGATATACTATAATAGTACTATATAGAACACATCGTAGTATATATATAGAACACATCATTTCAAACATGTCACATGCCTCCTTGTAGCTTGGAGTGGCCACAACTTCGAAACATTCACGGGCCAGGGGAATTACATGTCATTCCTTGGGATACCGGTAGGTACTCCATTAGCAGCGTCTCCCTGCCCTGGCATCAACAAGCTCGTTTCAATCCTGTCAATACCAAGTGTAAAAAGGGACAATAGCTTAGCTATTTTGACCAGATAGACGAGTTGCCTGTGACAACTTCAGAACACATGTGTTGTGATGGCCACGAAAGCCGAGGCTGTGATTGGCCCGTGGCCAAGACAGGCCAACTCCGCCCAGAAGCCCTGAAGCAGCAACCAAAGTGTGACTGACAATCGATCGACCAACCCCGCCTTGCTCCATTTGGTCCTCCCCTTGATGAAAGCATCGTTCGTAGCCGTGGTGGTGGCTGCATACGCCCACGCGGCATGGGCCCACCCATGGAAGGGGAACAAGTCGTTCAAGATCAACGACACCAACGTCACCCTCCTCAACACGTTTTGGGCCACGTCGCCTGGGCTCAACAAGAAAGCGCCTGTGAACGTCACGACCTACTCGACCGACTGCAAGGACGTCGAGTTCCAGGAGGACCGTCGGTGGGACAACTGCACGGAAGAGCGTATCACGTGCATATGGTTCCCCAACGGCACCGTGGGCCGAGGAAGCAACTGCCGCAAAGTCACTCGGTACGGGTCAGCCGACTACGGCCAGGTGAATGCGTTCCGCGGCGGGTCGGGGTCCGTGGACCGAAAGTTCGACAACGTCACGGGCACGAACGTGTCGACGACGCTGTTTCCATCGCACATCACCGTCGAGCACATTGAAGGCTTTCCGACTTATGTCGAAACCATGTACGTCCCACACTTCGACTGGATGAAGCATAAACGAAACGCTTTTAGAGTCATCGATGAGATCGGGGTCAGATCCTTCAACCGCGACATGTCGAGGACGTACCAGACCAAGCTGCCCATCACAGCGCGCTTCCTGTAGGGCAAACGCGCTCTAGACTACCACATTTCATGTTGGCTTGTTATGTAGGCAAATGCGGGGAAACCGAATAGCGTCCATCAGCGGCGTCACCTTTTCCGAAAATTTGCAAGTCATGTACGAACACACGACCGCTTCAACATCGTTTGGTCGTCATCATATATTGCGTAGGGACTTTGGTGGAAATGAAATCACATCCATTGGAAAGATCGTCGCGCCGAATCTTATGACATTGTACGTACAGCTATCCGACGAACGATTCTCCATATTCACATTGCACATGCAGGTCCTTCATAAGCAACAAAATCGCTTCCCTTGCCGGTGCCGTGTTCCCACTTACGCTGCGCAGCTTGTAAGTCGTATATGAACACGTGGCCTCTGCTAACACATAGTAGGCTACTCCAAAGCAATGAAATCACCACCTTAGCCAACGCGGACTGGCCCCCCAACCTTCTAATCTTGTACAGTACATAGTTCATCTGTGATATTGATGCTATGGTTTCAAAGGGCGCTGTCGTCAAATCTGCTGACCAGTCTCTCGTACCCGCTGCCGGCAACTCTAATCGACTTGTAAGCCATCCATTGTCCACTGATATTGTCATGACAACACTCGACCTAGACGCGCATCGCATATGCCCATCGATGATAACTTGGTCAAAGTAACTTGGCCGTCGAAATTGCGACTGCTGTACGTATATATATTTCTGCATCCTATTATATATATATATACTTTATATATATAGATATATGCTTGCATTCTGTGGGACTTACACACTTCATCTAGCTCCCTCGTCAATACCACCGTGACCGAACTCACATCAAACTTTCCGCCGACACTCAAATACATGTATGTCGGTCGCCACACCACGCACGATACGAACCATCTTATATATATATGCCTTTCTGTCATTTATATTTAAAGCTAAACTTTCCGTCAGGTTCCTCTGGAACACCAACATCACGGCATTTTACGCGAATGAGTCTCAATTCTTGCTGCTGTCGAACGTCTCTACGACTTGCGAAGGCCTCAGCGACGACGGCAGTGGTGACAACGGTGACCACGACTATTGCGAGCGCTTGCTGTCGCACAACGCCACCAACACCACGTGCAAAGGCCACATCCGCATCGAGTGGCTGCATGGCAAGTACCCGATCTGCATCATTCCGGACGACAAACGCCCGCTGAACAAGGTCACAATCATCTGCGCGGTGGCAATCTCGGGGGGGGTGCTCGTGGTCGGCGTCGCCTTGCTTGCGCACTGGCGGAAGGTCCAGCGGCGGCATAAGTGGTACAACGACTCGGGCGCGTACTGCGAAGACCAGACGGCGACGGTCGTGACCAACGACATCCGGACCGACAAGCTCATCTCGAGCTACCGGATTCCGCCCGACCGGATCGACCGCGGGGTCGAAATCGGGCGCGGCGGGTACGGCGTCGTGTACGTGGCCACGATCAAGTACGGGGGCAAGGCGACGCGGCAGGTGGCGATGAAGCGGCTGCTGCCCGAGCGCACGCACAACCCCACGGACGTCGAGACGTTTATGGACGAGATCCGCACATGTTCGAGCATCTTCCACCCCAACATTGTCGAGTTTGTGGGAGTGACGTGGACAACGTTGTCCAACGTTTCGCTGCTGACAGAGTTCATGGCAGCGGGCGACGTGTGGAGTTTGATCGAGGCCGACCACCGCCGCCGCCACCGCGCGATCGAGTGGCATATCCAGCCAGACACACTTTTGGTGGATTTGGACGACCTGTCGACATTCTTGTCTGGCCCAGTGGCTGATGATGATGACGAAGAAGGACCTGATCACATGCAGGCACATCGTCGGTTTTCCAAATTTAGCATCTTGTGCAGCGTCGTGGACGCACTCGTGTACTTGCACTCGCTGCCCGTGCCCATCATCCACCGCGACATCAAAGCCAGGAACGTCCTTGTCAACGACGTTGGCCACGTCAAGCTCTCCGACTTTGGCACGAGTCGCGAGGGTACGATGGACTACACGATGACGTCCGAGATTGGCACGATTCCGTGGATCGCACCCGAGATCCTCAAGGGTGTGCGGTACACGGAGATGGCCGACATCTACTCGGTGGGCGTGCTCATCTCGGAGCTCGACACGGGCGAAGTGCCGTACTCGACCATGGAAACGACCTCTCCGAACGATAAGTACCCTCGAGTGGCCAAGACCAAGATCATGATGATGGTCGTGGCCGGCGACCTACGGCCGTGCGTGACCCACGAGTGCCCCAACATTATTTATGACGTGATCCGGCGCTGTGTCGCATACTGCCCAAGCGACCGCCCCACGGCCAAGCAGCTGCAGCACTGGCTGCGGCAAATCCAACGAGAAATGACCTTACAACCCCATCAACAACCCCGCACTACACCGGCTTGACAGAATTATATGGCGACTATATATATGCAGTTTCGATTGGTTTCACGCTCGGATGTTTTTGACTACCGGGGGAATGGACTTTTTATGAATACCACACCTGCACAGTGCGCCATCAACACAGGTGCGGACAAAGATATCTAACGTTACAGTAGATGCTTCACATATAGTACATATTACTTCGAAGTACATATATACTGAAGTAAATATACATATATACTGAAGTAAATATATATATATATTTCTATCGATCGCACCGATTAGTGTACGTTAATATTCGCGGTTTCCAACATGCTTTTGCTCGGAAAGCAACAGCCGCATCACGTCCACCAAGCGCAGCACGCCTATTTCGGACATGAGGATCATGGCGATGTTTGTTGTGTGTATTGATACCAATATGTTGAGGGTTGCCATGCTCCTCCATGATATACAACCGAGTCACGCGCTGGGCAAAAAACACTTGAAGGGCCCTGGCGACAGAGGTCATGGGGGGGACGGTCACGGGGGGGTTGTTCTAAGTAACATAGTTGATCCTATTAATATATAACTAGGGGAGGGGGATAGACTAGTTAGGACCTTTAACACGTGAACGATCGGAAACACCAAGTTGCTAAAGTGCGGAAGGCTCACGGAGGGGGTGATCGCCGGCGGCAACGGCACGGGAAATTCGACGACAAAGTTCAACTTGGACGGCCAGCACTCGACCAGTTCGAGGATCTCTTGCCACCTAATTCATACATTGATGAGATATCACATCGTAGAATGAAACGATGTTGGCAGCATTAGGTTGCTCCTGACCCGAACGACGACAGCTCGTGGTCCATGTCGTTGAGCAGCAGCATGCCAGACATGTGTTTGGCACGAAGCAGGTAGAACGCTTCGTACATGCTTGCGGTGGACCGATGCATGCTTAGCGGCTTTGCCACACACTCCAACTTGGCGACGGGCCACTCTTGCTTGCCATCTACCCAACCCCCGCTCAGTCGAGTTCGCTCAGTTTGATCCGACGAGTTGGACATAGTATCGTACTCAAAAGCGACAGGTCTTCCAACATGAACCGGACCACGTCAAACGGCGTGAGGATGCCCAGGATGGGCGTCGGGTGCTTGGGGCTGGGCGCCACTGGAACGTAACTCTCAACTGGGGCCAGTCATTCGTCTCGGTGAGTTGTAACGACGTTCAAGAGATATGTACATGTGGCGAATCGATGCACGAGGTTGAACAGGTAGTCGTCTGCATATGACACCCGCAACCCCGTTGGCTGGCCACTTGGCACAAACTCGTTGCTGTCTCGAGCCAGTTGAAGCACTTCGCGCAGACTCATGGCCGCGAACTTTCTGCCGGCGTCAGCGATCTGACCTTCCATCTTGACCAGTTCGATGTCAGGCAACTTGGACATGTTGACCATGTACGACCCGGTGGACTTGCAGTTGACTTCGAGGGGTGGCAGTACTGCCAACAAGCATCTGCGCACACAAGAAGGAAGAGTACATGCATGTTACGGCTGAATACGATATTCATAGTATCGTTGAAAATAGTACCAAGGGCAATCTCGTCTCACCTGGCAAAGGTTTCATAATCGACGAGGCCAGAATACACCCGATCGCCGGCTTTTCCCACGCGATGGTGTTCATAGACAAGGGCGACGCGACGTCGTCGCAGCTGCAGTTCCTTGAGCGCTAAAAAGCACTGGACATCGTCGGGCATGTGGAACATGTCGTCGTTGTACAGGGTCTGGCCACCAACATCTCGAATCTACTTGCGAGTCGTTGAGCTAACGTTAAACAGATGTACAATGAATGGTAGTAGTACCTTGGTGGACCACAACACGTCAGGGTCATTGGTGCAATCTGCGACAAAAAACGTGGCCGCCGAGGCATCTTCCAGCAACTCGGAGTTTTGGAAGAACGTCATGGCCTTGTCCTCTGTGACGAGGCCCGTAAACAGCGATTGCAACTCTTCAAAGAACGAACACACGAACGGCTGGGTGAGCGAATACTCGATCGCTTCCTTGAGCGTGACCAACGGTTTGGTGTCGTCCGTGGCTCGGAGGGCCATCTAACCGTCCAACATGAAAACCGCTGTAGCACTTAGCGTATACAGATATTCAATGTACACCTCCATGGCGTTGGTGATTTCCGTCGACGGCGGCTCGGATAGGCGAAGCATGCGAGTAACAGCATTGACACAATCGCGGTAAATCAGCAACTTTGTGGTGCTTTCAATGACTAGGCTTGCATAAGAGAGGTCATAAAAAAGGATGGTGAATGCAATAGGCAGATGCTTTACAGTTTTCGTGGTTAGCGCACATATACATGCGAAAGATAAAGTGCAGTTTGAGCTTTAAATCTACGCGCAATGCCAAGCAGATTCCCACGAGCACTTCAAAGCCGTTCGCTCCAGCCGTGCCGTTTGTCAGGGACTCGAAGAGCTAGAAGACGTACATGTGAGGTTGTTTATAGCATGTACGGTTGGTACCGCATAGTGAGGCAACGTGTCTTGCAGCAGCATCCCAAACACTTCGTCAAACTGAACGTACGTCAACGATCGAGCCGAGTGCGCCTCGTCCACGAAGATTTGCCAGCATTCCTCCACGGTCTTGAGGGACTGAGTCGTGTACTCAGTTACGAGGGACCGAAGGTGTTCATCGGCTAGTCCATGGGACGATAGGGTTGCTCCCATGCCGGTATGCGGCTTGGCTCGGGAATACGCGAAAACCAGTTACCTAAAAAGTAACGGTTTATTCATTGTTGCAACAAATAACCTTCGCAATTCAATTGTATGCATTTTCACAAGGGCCCTCAAACGTTTCACATTTTTGTCGCAATGATCATCGACGTCGACAGCAATGCTCAACCGATAATGCGCGTGGAAGTTGTCGATGTGAACTACTACATGGACAAGCCATTGCCAAAGGATGCTATTCCTTCCTTGCCGCAAGGTCCATGCTACGAACGCGCTCGGTCCGTTCCAGTCGTCCGCATATTTGGCGCGACGCCCGCGGGACAAAAGTGTTGCGCGCATCTTCACGGGGTACAGTACATACAGCTTGTCGTTCATCATGATCCTTTGCCACATGAACGTAGATCTTTCCTTACTTCTACATGCGCTGCGAGAACGATCCAACATTCGATTCCATCGACGAGCTCGTAACAATGCTACCAAAAGTCGCCCACGACATCGAGTCCGCCGTGCGCACACTATCCCAAGCCAATGTGAAAGCGCCTGTCGGAACCACGAACAGCACTGCAAAACCCACCTCTCGTCAGCAAAACATCTCAGTGGCCAAGGTACCGAGCCATGATGTCGATGTCCAACGATCCAATTCCTCATACTTCCACGAAGTTGGCGGTCGTCAAGGGCGTGCCTTTCTACGGCTACCACGCGTCCGAAGTGTTGTTCATCAAGGTGTTCCTATACGACCCAGCCATGATGAGTCGCATCGTGCAAGTGGTCGAGAGCGGGTTGGTCACCCAGCGAACATTCCAGCCATATGAAGCGCATATCCCGTACCTCCTCCAAGTAAGTACCTGTACATCGTCCATTCATTCGCATGACTAGATAAACGATGGTATCTAGGTGTTTGCGGATTACCACATTGAGGGCATGAACTACCTCAACCTTTGCGACTTTAAGGTCTGTTTCTTCTACTTTAGTCTTGACTTTGCTTATCGTGTGCTCTAGTTTCGCTCCCCATTGCCCCACGCCCAACCCCACTTGGACTCGGAGCACCGTATGTCATAGAATCGATTGAAGCTATCGTTTATTCGCTAGACACTGCTATATCTTGTGATTGAAGCCATCGTTTGTTCGCTATATCTTGTGATTGAAGCCATCATTTGTTCGCTAGAAACTGTGTGGTTGGCTCCTTCCAACGCCCTGGCCACGTTTACAGGCAGGGAAGCCCCTGTGGTCTCGAGCCCCAAGTGGAATGCTCGTACGGCCGTGTGCAGCTTAGAGCTGGACGTGTCTTGCCACTGCATTCTCAATCCTACGGCTGCCACGTCAGACAGCCAATGCTATGTGCCATCGCTGGCGCCATTGTGGGAGGTACGTTTCCCAGTCGTTCATGTAAATCCAATACAATTGATAGGAAGAAAAGCTCCGTCGACGAGCCGCCGGCCTCGCCGCAACACCAGAAGTGGCGCCAAGCATCCAACGCCATTTACATGATGTACATGATGGGTCCCCCCACGACCTACGAAGAAGCGAGTCGTCGCCTCTATCCCAATCCGACTTTAACGACCAAATGTGGGCATCGCTGGATGCGATTCTGCGTAAAGTTCAAGCAGCCAAGGACATGTCCGACCACCAATCGACAGCGTCCACGGGCATATTGCCGTCTCCGCACGACGAGTCTCTTGGTCACTTGTACTCGTACAGTCAATTGGACACTGCAGACGGCGATGTACGAGGAGCAGCAGCAGATGACGAGGTGGACGTGGAAAACCAAGAGTTGCTGGCGTTGCTGGCGACACTCGAACGCAACGTCGCGACCGTCGAATCTCGTCCTCCACATGTCCAACATGACGACGGCGACGACGACGACGACGACGATAGTATGGATATCATGGCGTCTCAGCGTCAATTGGAGAACGAGACCGGCGAAAAGCCGTGGTGGGACGATGGACTTGACCAACAAGAACCAGACTCCGACTTGGTCGTAGAGTCTACCGCCACCAACGACGACGACGACAACTGCAATAGGATCATGTCCCTCCATGCTGCGGCAGAGTCCCCTGAAGTGTTTCAACAGTCTACTATATCTATGTTTCCGTCAGCCACGCCACTCCCATCCACGCCCTCCTCCACTCGAGTGTGGCACTTTGGCTTGGATCCCCCCAGCGTGCAGGACGTGCTAGCTGGGGGCTGGCCGTCGGTAGGCTTTCATCATCGCCATATATAGACGACGCTTTCAAGGGGTCTTTCTCATTTGAAATACAATCATGGTTGTAGGGGGAGGATAAGCCCATGGTGCGCTACAGCTGCGACGACGACGTCCCAGACAAGCCAGTGGTGTTTGCCGGTCGCCGCGTGCATTTTTCAAAGCAAGGGGTGGAGTATCTTCGGAATTACCCCGACGGCGCCTGTGCCCAACCCCCGTTGACGTCGCGGCGGAAGGTGCGGCGAGTGCGCACGCCGCTGCGGGCTCCACCCACCGTGGCAGACTTAAGGGATCCATTGCCGGTAATATTTTTGGACAGCAGCTGTCGTGTATACACATAGGATAGTGACAACCCTGTAGTTAGTTGGTCATGTACTATTTACATAGCGCTTTTTGTAGCCACAAACTCCAGGATCGACGTCGCAACCACCTGGTGGACTTATTGGTCAACACAACGTGCACACGTCGAATGTGACTATTCTGTCGGTGGAGGTTCACGTGAATTCGAGGGAAATGCTGCTGCCAGACCCAGGCGTCGACGCAGTGGTGGCACTTGGGTACGTTGTGGAAGCGAATGAAGGCAGCGACAGTCCTTCCACGGTCACTGGCATCATCATGGTGGATCAATCATGTGTCGACACGTTCCAGCTGCCTGTAGCCAATCAAATCGTAGCTGTGCACTGTGTTCCGTCCGAAATGGCGCTGTTTACAGCACTCGACCAACTCATACATCGATGGGACCCAGACTTTCTCGTTGGTTTTGAAGTCCAGCAGGGTTCGTGGGGGTACTTGATTGATCGTGCTACCACGTTCGACCCGCCCGTACGCTTGGATATTCTATATATATATATATATATATATATATATATATATATATAATCGTGTATACCCAAATATATGATTTAATATCGTTCCCGCAGGTGAATTTGATTCAAACGTTGTCGAGGTTGCCGTTGGTGCGAATGGATTCGCGCAATCAGTCGACCAATCATCCAGACGGACAACGTACGACATTATTATTATTATTATTGCATTCCTTCGTCATATAAAATAATACTCGTAAAAGTATTATTTTATATTATTATACTATTTCATGTGTTTATGATTGAATATCCCATCCATCCCCTTGTCACACACAGCACCCAAGATTGGCACGGTGTGGGGAATGAAGAAAGCGTCTGGCATTTGGATGCACGGCCGACACATGCTGAATCTGTGGCGCTGCGCTCGCTCCGAGGTACTATACTACCCCATGGATTCCCGGTATTTTGGGTTAACAGTTAACATGTTAGTTAAAACTCGGCCGCTACACGTTCGAGTGTGTGGTCGCGCATGTATTAAAGCGACGGGTGCCCGTGTACTCGAACCAAGTGCTGACGCGGTGGTTCCAAGCTGGAGGGTCTGTCCGATGCAGAGCGTTGGAATACCTCGTCGTCAAGACTTCGTTGAACATGTCGCTCCTGGATGGGCTGCAGTTGATCACTCGAACAAGGCAAGTGTATATTACTTTATATTATTGTAGTTGAACCAAATGGTAGTGAAATGGCGCGGCTCTTTGGCATGGACTTCTTCTCTGTCCTATCGCGTGGATCGCAGTATCGCGTCGAAGCTGTGAATATTCGAGTCACGAAGCGCCTGAACTACATATTGATATCGCCCAACCGTCAACAAGGTGGTGTAGTGTGGATTCACATATGAGATATCAACTGGCCATTTACTAACCATTGCGATGATAGTCGCCGGCCAGGCCCCCATGGAGTGCATTCCCCTCGTAATGGAGCCCCTGTCTGCCTTTTATGGCGACCCTGTTGTCGTGCTGGATTTCCAGGTGTGTTGTTGGTGAAATGTTTAGTTAGTTGGTTCAAACTACTCATGTCGAGTGTTGTTGGTGAAATGTTTAGTTAGTTGGTTCTAACTACTCATGTCGAGTGTTGTTGGTGAAATGTTTAGTTAGTTGGTTCTAACTACTCATGTCTAGTCGCTGTACCCGTCCATGATGATTGCGTACAATATTTGCTACTCGACGTGCCTCGGTCGACTCAAAAACGGCATGGACGACGAAGTCGAGACGGCGCTGGGCGTTGTGTCCAACCATGTTGTCGATATAAACGTACGTCCTGTGCATATTCTGCCACTTGATTGCTATTAGTAGAATATTACTCCTCCTTCTATATCTCTTTCAATGTACTTGCGTCAAGAACTGGGAAATTTGTATGGATCTCTTAAACCCATGATGTATATATATATACTATTCAAAGTGTGTACTTTCGAAAGCCATGTAGTAGTAGTAGTAGTAGTAGTAGTAGTAGTGCTAACCTTGTCGTATGACATGGCATGTTTGAAATATAATAATAATAATAATAATATTAATATTTTGGTTGCAGGGCCTGCTTCAGTCTGGAAAGCAGACGACGATCACACCGAACGGAGTGCTGTTTTGCCCCAAGACCCAACGCCACGGTGTGCTTCCTTTAGTGCTGTCTGAAATCCTCTCGACTCGCATCATGATCAAGCAAGCGATGAAGGCGGCGGTATCCATATGTTCATACCCTCCACATATATCATAAAATCCAGATAGTATCTCCATTCTCGACATGTTTGTAGAGCACGACCAATCGCCGGTTGAGTCGCGTGCTTGATGCGAGGCAGATGGCTCTGAAAATGATTGCCAACGTCACGTACGGGTACACGGCCGCCAGTTTCTCTGGGCGCATGCCATGTGCACAGGTTGCCGACGCCATTGTCCAGGTAAAAAGCATATAACTTTAGCTTATATATTTAGTATTGATATTGAGTACGAATCTCTGGACCCCGTCGAATCGAATCACGTCGACCGAATCGATCTATACGAATCGTTCCGATTGGTTGGTCAATCTAAAAATTACTCTTTGCCTGTTGGCTACTTGAGTGTTTTTGTTTTTACTTTGTGCGGCAAAGCCAATCAAATATCGCGGCGAGATTTGTGTTTCTCGATTTTACGAATCGCGCCGAATTGGGAAATAGGTTGCAAATTCACACTATTTTGTCGATACAAACGATGTTTGATGACACATGGGCGCCTATAGTGTGGGCGCACGACGCTGGAAGCGGCGGTCAAGACTGTGGAAACCCATCCGACGTGGCATGCAAAGGTCGTATATGGTGACACGGACAGTCTGTTTGTGCAGCTACGGGGTCGAACTCTGGAGCAAGCGTTGCGACTTGGCCACGAAATCGCCCACGTCGTCACGACGCTCAATCCCAAGTACGTTTGTTCAATAGTTGTGTTGTGAATGCACTATACACTTGCAACATACGCGTCGTGTTTTTTGACTAATCAATCCGATTGAATCACGCTGGAGTTCTGATTGGTTGAAAATATCCTTGTCCTTTTTGTAAGAGCCAATCAAATCCACTATTGTATTGTGAATTCGGTACAAATTTCTAGACCCCGTCGAATATCGAATCGACGCTAATGGCTAATCCAATTTTGGGTGGATTTGATTGGCTCGCTCATATAGAAAGGACAAGTATAGTCAGCCAATCAGAACTCCAGCGTAATTCAATACCACTGATTAGGCATAACTTTGGGAGTTTATAGCGAATTCAGAATATTTATTTATTTTGATCGACTGTTTCTTGAGACGATAGTGTGATTTGTATATATATAGACCCGTGTGCTTAAAGTTTGAAAAAGTGTACATGGGGTCGTTCCTCGTATCCAAGAAACGGTACGTTGGGCTCAAGTTTGAGCATTTGGGAGACAAGGGCCATCTGGACGCCAAGGGTATTGAAACCATCCGCCGCGACTCGTGCGGCGTCGTGCAGCACCCGATGCGGCACTGGCTCCGGCTCGTCTTCTTCACGCGGGACCTCTCGGCGTGCAAAAAGTACCTCCAGAAGTACTGGACCCACATGCACGACGGACGCATTCCACTGACGCACTACATTTTCGCCAAGGAAGTGCGATTGGGCACGTATGCCGGGTAGATATATATATAATATACAATTATTTGAGAAATGAGTGGTTAGACAAGGTCCTCCGGGGGTGTTGGTTGCCAAGAAAGCCATGGCCAAAGACCCTCGGGCAGAACCACGATACGCTGAACGCGTGGCGTACGTGGTGGTCCGAGGTCCCCCCGGCGCCCGACTCATGGACTTGGTCGTTGCTCCAGATGAGTTGGTAGCCAGTCAAAAGCAGTATTCAATCAACGTCGACTATTACGTGTCCAAACAAGTACGTGGCACCTCCTCGCGACCTTGTCTGGTGTGAAAAAAATCACCAACCAAATTGACTCAAGAAAGGGGATGTACCCATGCACACCACGAAGCTATACAAACGCTCCTGTAGGGTCTGTCTGTGGTTCGACTGTTAACAATCCCGTCTTGACTCTCTGCGGAACTCCTCACAGCTGATTTATATGTACTTTTAGATGCTTCCTAGCTTTGAGCGATTGGCGATTCTCATGGGCGTAGACGTTCGCAAATGGTACAACGCGCTGCCTCGAAAGGCGGAGCGAGCGGCTGTGGCCCCGTCGCTGACGCGGATTGACGCGTACTACTCGAGTCAGCACTGCCGAGTGTGCGACACAAGGAGCTTCCATCGGGGGTCGATTTGTGCAGACTGCCGCGCGCACCCGCAGCGCACCGCCATGGCCGTCGAATCGCAAGTGGTGCAGTTGGACGCGGAGCTGCAGGCGCTGAGACGCGTGTGTGTGCAGTGCATGGGGTCGAGTTGGGGAGGGTCGTGGGACAGCCCGATGGCCATGGTGTGCCGGAATTTTAGCTGCGCAGTGTGGAACCAGTGGCTGCCCACGGCCGTGGCCACGGAGACGTGGAAAACTAAAGTTAAAGTAGAAAGTAGTGTATGTAAAAACGATTAATACTACCGAAACGTAGCAAGACTGTATGATCACCATCGAAATGTCCACTGTCACTTGACAAAGGAACAGCAGCGCCACTTTGTGGGGCTCTGTCAGTGGATATGCGGAGGGGGGGAAACGGCCTAAGCAGTGTACTTGCCGCCATACTTGGCTTCCGACCCGTATTGGGGGTTGCCATACTGGGGCCGGTTGTACACTTTAGGCTTAACCTCTGCCGCCGCTTTTCGCTTATCGCTGCACGTGCTAGCGAGCTTCGACAGAGCGGACGACAGCGCAGCGTACACTTCGCTGGGCAGCGGGCACAGCTTGTCCCCGTTGCCGTCCACCGACGGCCCTGACTCGCCCTCTTTCAGGTCTCCGTAGGCGCGTTCGTCGGCCAGATGACGACCGTACACGAGGGAGATGGCGTCGTCCTCCTTGGCCCAGTCGGGGTAGATTTTTCCCAAGAACTCGACAACGTCAAACTCGGCGAGGCACAAGTAGCTGCGCTTGGACAACAGGTGGTTGTACGTTTGCACTTCGGCGGTGGTCGTGATGTCCTCGGCAGTCAGAATGTCGTCGTCGATGCACTTGGTCACAGTCGCAGAGTTGGCGCGGAGGTCATCCGACAGCTTCCACTCGTCCGTCTTGAACTCGGGGTAGCACTTGGACAGGTCTCCGTCGTTGTTGGCGCGGCATGCATGGAATGCGCAATAGTACAAGATGCCAAACCCTTCCAAGATGGGCTGCTCGTGGTAGCCAGCGCTGCGGACCGCGATTTCAGCAATTGACTGGGGACGGCGGAGTGCCGACGCTTCGCGCTCGACGTAGTGCACGGCGTCGTATAGACCGCGGTACGTGCGGTCGGTGGTGTAGTCGGCGTTCTGGCAGTAGCGGTAGATGCTCTGGCTGTCCGTCTTTTGGAGGGCTTTAAGGGCTTCCGAGTTTTTGCTGTTGGTGTACAAGTTGTTGGCTGGATCGGTCACCGAGTAGTGGATCGTGCTGGGGATGTTAGCATAGATGTAGGCGCCTTGATCGCTGTCAATGGGCTGCAAGTCGTTCGGGTTGGCGCACGCAAACTTCGTGCCAATCGTAAACGCACTGAGCCCCGAGGCTTCGCCACTGGTGTACTGCTGAAGGAAGATTTCCTTTTCGCCGTGCTTGACATAGTACGGCGCGTTCGGGTTGTACGCGACCGTGCCCGCCGGTTGCTCGAACGACCGGTACAAGTTGGGAAAGTTGTCCTTGGCGGCGTCGCCGGTGCATGCTTTGACCGACTCGATGAACGCGTGTAGCTTGCGCAGGTACAGCACCGGGCCTTCCACTGGGTTCTTGCACGCGTCCGCGGCGTAGTGCTCGATGAAATTGATGCGGATGTAGTTTTCCGTCAAGCACATGACGGTCGCCGTCGTGATAGACACGTACGCACTCTGGAGGCACTTTTCCTTCAAGTAGTCGGGCGTGATCTCGTACGTGGCGGGCTTGGGCGTGGGGGCGGCCGTGGCAGGCGAGCCGTACCCGCCTTCGTCGGGTTTCTTCGTCGTCTTGGGCTTTGCCGTCGTGGTTGTCGTGGGCTCGGGGGTTGGGCGCTTCTTGTAGTCCGACCCGTAGTAGTCGTCGTTGTATTCTTCGGGCTTGGGAGTAGGCTTGGGGGGCTCACCGCCGCAGATGCCGTCGACGTTGGCACTGAGGGAGAAGTGCAAAACCAAGCACTGGTCCAAGAAGTAATTGGTCAGGCTCTTGCGGCCGCACGACGTCCACGGGGCCCCCGTGAGAAAACAATGGTAGTCACCCAACTTGGGCACTTTGAAGCTGTCCACCGCGCCGGGCGTTTCCGTGAAGAACGTGTACGGGAAAGGCTCCTCTGCGTCCTTCTTGTAGTGCGACGTCCACGGCTCGTACACTGGTGGCGCGTACGTTCGGTAGTCGTCTTCGTCGCCGAACTTATCACCGTGGATGTTGCCGTAGCCAGGCTTTTCCTTGTTGTACGACGCCGGTTTCTTCTTGCCGTAGGTGCTCTTGGGTGGCGTATCGTAGTCATCGGTTTCTTGTTGGCCGTAGTTATCGCCACCATAGTTGGGCCGGGGTTTGTAAGCAGGCTTCTTGGTCGTCTTGTACGAAGGAACTTCATCATCGTAGCCATAGCCGTAGGCAGGTTTGTTGGTGGTAGGTCGCTTCGTCGGCGCAGGTTCAGAGTAGGTATCGTAATTGTAGTCATCTTCCGTGTACGAGTCAGCCTTCTTGGGCTCGTAGCCATCATTTGTTGGCTCTTTGTAGTCGCCATACGTCTCATAGGTGTCGTCATCGTCGCCGCCATACGAAGGCTGATCGTACTCTTCAACGTCGCCGCCATACGAAGGCTGATCGTACTCTTCAACGTCGCCGCCATACGAAGGCTGGTCGTACTCTTCAACGTCACCGTAGTTGTCGTACTCGTCCTGGTTGTTGTAGCTGTTGATGGGCGTGCCGTAGGTCGCCCGTTCGCCAGCTTGGATTTCCGCCAAGATGGTTTTGATGCCAACCAACACTGCGAAAAGGTACGCTCCCTTCATGGTCGTGCCTTGTTGAATTTGTCAAGCAAATTGTGCAATGATCTCTTGTTCGTGTGTGGCCTTGGCTACACCCCCGTGGGTTTCGCTAAAGGTTCGGGGCCAATCCCCAACGTTGCCAAACTTTTGCACCCAATCGCACGCGCGAAACATCGGCGCCTTTTCGACTCGACGTAACGCGAAACTGACAGTTGAATCGGCCAATCATACTTGTGACGACCCTTTGTTGACCAATCAGAACGCACTTTCGAAAACGAAAAGGCGCTTGATTTTCGTGTGGGAGTTTGCAGCGGGTCTGTATCTTGTGAAGTGCGTGCGACTCAGCCACTCACAACACACTGAAATCATCCTTTCAACAATGGAAGCTATCGAGCCGGCAGCTAACAAGTGCACGAACGTTCAATGTAGTAAGAAATTCGTCAAAGAATCGACACTACCCAACTCTGATGTGTCAAAGGTAGCGGTTTTGCTTCGGTTTCACATTTTAGCAGGGTGTGATGTCGCGCCAGGAAATAGCATCGCGAGGGTATGAAGGACGTGGTGTCGTATTCAGGGTACATTGCATTTCCCTTTGTAAACACTTTTGCTTTCTACAGTACTGTGCACAACCCTCAGTGACCAAAGTACCGGATTGTCCTAGTGCCTCCATAACAGTTTGAACGTCCTCTCTTTTTTCTACCGGTATGCTCTAACAACGCAATCGTATAATTCAAGTATGATATTTAAAGCAGAATCCAACTACAAAGTGGACAATCGTCCACTTAAATTCAGTTTACTAGTGTAGTATGTCCTTGAATGTTCTTCATCCATTCAAGGGCGACCTTTTCTCGGTCAAGTCGAGGCGTTTCCATGTATCTGGATTTCCGGTCACTGCGTATTGCAATATGCACTGGCGGACATGGAGAGGCAGTTTCTGGGTGGTTTCGGACGTGCCGCACACCAGCGCGACGCCCAGCGCCTCGAAGAGCTTGGCTGGGGCGACGCTGCCGCTCCATCGGACCGTTTGGACTCGCAGATTCGATACGAGCCAACGAATCAACGACAGCGGCTTGGTGAGCATGACCTTCTTGGACACGCGCGACACTTTTCCGTCGGTGGTCACGTGCAGCCAGTGTTCGGCATCCCACACAGTCATGGGCCGTTTGTGGGTCCGGCACTGCCACTGCAGAAACTCGAGGCAGCCATCGTACCCGTCGTTGCCTGGCGCTGGTTTCATACGGCTGCATACCCTGGCATTCAGCACCTCTTGGGGGAAAAACGGCCGCAGAGTCTGCAGTACCACCTACAACACCTTCGTCGTTAACGCACGAGATAGACAAAGCGAGATGGGCAAACTGTGGACCTCGTTGTGGCCACACGGTTTCCCGTAGAGTCCCCCCCATTGCTGCACGTCGGACGGCTCCGGATTCGGCGCCCACTCGTCGGTGGACGTCACGCTGGCTCTCACGACCAGCGATGTCACATCCTTGGTCGCGCCGTGCCGCACGCTGCCTTCCCACGCGCCGCCGAAGGCGCCTCCATCCGCCGCATCCAGCCATTGCGTCTGTGCTGATAGTCGGGTGTTGTGAATCGACATGCCCGTGGCGGCGTTTTGAGCGACGAGGCCGACGGCCGCCAGCTTTTGCTTCATCTTGGCGGGGTTCACGGGGCTCGTGGCAGCGAGGGGGGTCGCGATGAGGACAAACAGCTTGTCGGACAACGCCTGGAGCTTTTGCTGGGCGGGAGTTAGGGCCTTGGGCTTGGCTTCTGGCTCGTCCCCCAGACCAGACGCGTTGGCGAGTTTTCGTATCCATTGGGCGTCGTGGTCTTGGGGTTGGGCTTGTTGCAGGTCGAAAATACTCGAGGCCAAGTTGGCTCTAGCCGTGGCTTTTTGCAGCATTGGCTTGGAAATGTCGACCGCGATCGACGACGAAGCGGCGGTTCCTGGCGCCAGCAGCGCATACCCGCCACGCGACGGACTGGCGTGGATTTGAACGACCGTGGCAGCATAGGTACAAGTTGCCGAGGCCACCAACGATGCAAAGTGCTCGGTCGTGACCACGACGCCCTCGTGGCTGCTCGAGCCAAATTTGTCCAAATAGTTCTGGCGAATGGTTGGGTTGGTCTTGGAGTGGATGGCAAACACTGAAAACCCCAGCTGCTTCAATGTTCCCGCAACGCATTGGGGCGTCAGCTGTCCGGTGGCCTTCGTAGGAACCACGACCACTGCCCGACATAGGTTCTTCACTTCTAGAAGATAATACACGGCCCCCACGACGTCCTCGTCCCGAACGTGCAGGTGGTGCTGCTGCTGGATTGGCACGCTTTGAATAGACTGAGGTGGGGATGAATCAGTGGGAGCAGTTGATGGTGTGGGGACATTGGCTGCAGCTGCGCCGCCTGCGTTGAGGACTGCCCTTTTGTGCTTCTTGCCTTGCTCGTGCATCAAGCGCGCGCCACTGGTGACAGAGATTTTGCACGCGTCGCACACGTATGTCCCGCTTTTCTTATCGCTTTTGTGGATTTGAGGCGGTGGTCCTACTGGTTTTGTCTTTTCATGCTTGGGTTTTCCAGTCGAATCCTTGCCAGCCTTGTGCTTCTTTGCCGGAGGTGCACTTGGCCTACGACGGACGTCAGCGCATGAAGCAAACGCGCATGCATGAAGACGTACTTGACGACTGCGCGAAGAAGCGCTGGGTTGACAATGACGAGGCCCCCACTGGATGGAGACTTCGCGTCGTTCCGTGGCCGCTTCGTCTTGTTGCCTTTCGCCATGGCACACCACGAATGATAATTTCCCGGATAATCAAAGTTCAACGAATGATCCGGAAACACGAGTATTAGCCAATCCCATGGCATCCGGATAAGGATTGCGATTGCTGTTGCCGTGGCCAATCAAAACTATTGCCCAAATAGGAATACCCATGGAGGCGCCGCAACAGGACGATGGCGGGTTCGATGCCATGGACACGGAAGCGTTGGCGCGCGAAGCCAAGAAGCGTGAGAATGACCCGAACACATACAAGCGAAGCGGAGGACGGAACGAACCGGTGAACTGCTTGGAAGACATCTACAAGCAATGGGACGAACTCATCCCCGCCGACGAATGGGATCGGTACGAAGCGATGACCATGTTCGTCGTGGAATGGAACCCTCAGACGCCACGAGCGTTGGAGAAGTGTTTGATCGCTCTTCGTCGTCAATACAAGACTCTCCCCAAGAAGTCCCAGCTCAAGTTCGTGTACAACGTGCTCGTGAAGCGCGGGACGGCACCGCCGCAATTGGCAATCGACACGCTGCTGGTGAAGAAAGCAGGCAAAAGTCAAAGCGGTGTGTTGGTCGTGACAGTGGTCACTAGTCCGTACCCCCACGGCCAAAAGTTTAGCTGCCAGTGGAATTGCTACTACTGCCCCAACGAGCCAGACCAGCCGCGGTCGTACCTCCACGACGAACCCAGCGTCCTCCGAGCCAACCGCAACCGCTTCGACCCGGTGCTGCAATTCTGCGATCGCTGCGTGACCCTTGCCTTGAACGGCCATCCCGTGGACAAGATTGAGTTGCTCGTGTTGGGGGGCACATGGGCGTCGTACCCAGTGTCTTACCAAGAAGAGTACGTGTCGTCGATCTTTGTCAGTATATTGGCTTTGTTTTACCCCAAATTTTGACTTTTGTGCTGATTCGCCAAATCTATCGATTGTTTGTGCTCACTTTTGTATGTAAAACGCATCATCCAGTGTCACACTAATTTCAGTCATACACTAATTCAATGTTGACTTCGTCGAAGAGCGGATAATTTGATTGGCTACTTGATTCATGATGTGAGTTTTGATTGGTCATATATCGATTGTCTGCCGATTTGGTTCGTTCGATTGAGCACCCCACTCCAATTTCGAATCGACTTGACAAGATATATATATATATATATATATATATTATTGATTAGGAAAGATATTCACTTTTCGAGTAGATTTATCCGAGACCTGTTTTACGCAGCCAACACGTTCCACGACCGCGTAAAACGCGAACGAAAGTCGTTGGACCAGGAAAAGCTCGAAAATGAAACCACTTTGGTCAAGATCATCGGCATCACGCTGGAAACCCGCCCGGACTGCATCACGCCGGACGAGCTGCGTCGGTTCCGTCGGTACGGATGTACCCGCGTGCAGCTGGGCATTCAACACACGGACGAAGGCATTTTGAAAAAGATCAACCGCGGGTGCACGACCCAAGATGCAAAGCGAGGTGCTGCAGTATATCTTGAAATATTTTCATAGTCGAATATATGTGTGTGTGACTGTAGCCATGAAGCTGTTGCGCGACTGCGGCTACAAGACAGACATCCACTTGATGCCAAACTTACCGGGCAGTTCCGTCGATCTGGACCGTGCCATGTTTGACTATGTCCTCCACTCGCCCGACTTGCAAGCCGACCAGTGGAAGATTTACCCGTGTGAAGTCACGCCGTGGACCGTGATCAAGCGATGGTAGTGTCCTTTAAAAATTGGGTTGACTTGTGTGCTCCAAATCTATCGATCGATTTGTCCAGTGGTGATTCTACCTACACTAAATTGATGTATTACACTAAATAGATGTTGATCATGGTTTCCTGCAATCTGATTGGCTAAATCCTACTTCTGCCGATTCATCTATGTATACATTACTATTTGGTTGTGTCGATGCATTCTGTATGTCGTTCCAGTTTAGACTAAACACAGCAATATACCACCGTCTTCTGTACCAAATATACTGATGATGTAGTCTTATGGTGCTTTCTGCCAAAACTATTGGACTTCTTTCTATCTATCGGTCGGTTATTTTTGTACTTCATATTTTTGGGTGTAATGTATTTTTACACTATTTGAAGTCCCACACGGCTTTGATGGTTGCAGGCGCGTTTGAGTGACCACTTGAAAACAGTGTTCTGGGTTTTGATTGGTCGATCGATTGTCCTTGGCTCGTTTCGATTGAGCATTCCACTCGACATTGTTCGAATCGAACGATCCTGTGTTGATATGACGGTGGTAGGTTTGACGCGGGGGAGTATGTCCCGTACGGTGACAACGAGCTCATGGCGCTGCTGATGGACGTCAAGGTGCAAGTGCATCCTTGGATCCGACTGAATCGGGTCATTCGAGATATCCCGTCGCAGTACATTCTGGGGGGGATGGACGAGCCCAACCTGCGGCAGGTGATTCTCAAGCGCATGGAGCAGGCGGGGCTCCGCTGCCGGTGCATCCGCTGCCGCGAAATAAAAGCCGACGCGCCGGCGGCCACCAAAGCCGAGCTGCTGGTCCGGACGTACGAAGCGAACGAAGGCACCGAGTACTTTCTGAGCTTTGAAACCCCTGACGAAAAGACCATCTGCGGGTTCTGTCGGCTGCGCTTGTCTCCCACGGCGGGCGGCGGTACCTTTCCGGAACTCGAGGGCGCGGCGCTGGTGCGGGAGCTGCACGTGTATGGCCAACTGGTGGTGGTCAACAGCGTCGACAAGTCCAAGGCCCAACACGGCGGGTTTGGCACGCAGTTGATGCTCAAAGCGGAGGAAATCGCCCAAGAACACGGGTTTACCAAGATGGCCGTGATTGCCGGCGTCGGCGTGCGCAACTTTTACCGCAAATTGGGCTTTGAAGTCGAAGGCGAAGGCGAATTGATGATCAAACACTTTCCAAAGAAAAAGTCGAGTTGGGCCAAGCCCGAATGGCGCTGGGTGGCGGCTGCCGCCATGGCGACCGTGGCCATTGGGGTCGCGGCGCTCAAGAAGAGAGCGTAAGCTTAGTAGACTAATGTATAGCATTTCCACTGACTTGCTGCACACATGACGTCGTGATGTCATCCGTGCGTTCCTATGATGGTGTGATCGCTTGCATTTCATAACGTTAATGTCCATGTTGAAGCATAAAATTGGTTGCCGTTTGGCTTGGACAAAGGAACATGGGGCTAACCGTCAAAGTATGCTAGCGTCCTCCCACGTGAACACGCCCGAGGGGCCCAGAGAACTACCCGTTTGCTTTGTTGATTCAGTAGCCATTCCCCACCGTCACGATGCCGTAGAACGGAGCGACATACCCGGTTTGCCACTTGGCTTTCGTTGCTTGGTTGCTGGACACCAGCCCCACCGATCGGTTGCAAGCCCCCTTGGGACAACCAGTGGCTATATGCTGACCAATCAGGCGGCATCAGCTTATCAAGTGTCTGTGGACCAACGGCTCGTTCAAAAACAGGCCTAACATGTACGACCACTCGCGGTCCAGCGCGCTCCTCGTCGCGTTTGGCCTCAGCGTTGGCCACCAGCACGACGCCCAGATGTTGCTCTGGCAGCCATCCGTTGCCGGGCTTGAGTCGTGCCCTTGTCCAAGTACGCATAGCTAAACCATTCGCGGCCCACGAGGTCGAAGCCAAAGCCATCGCCCACACCTTGCCAGACATCGTCGTAGCCGACAAGAGGGGTGCTGGGTTGGGAAGGATAACATGTGTCCAGAGATCATGTCCGCTACGATCTAGGGCGACTCGAAGGTACTGTGGCCACGGCGTAGCAGAAACTGCAAAACTTGGACGGGTCCCCAATCGACAACCAAATCGGGCAAACTGCGAGTTGCCGCCGTATGACATGTAATTTCTCGAGTCGTTGATGAGATTTAACGGGGCTCTGCGACTTGGCAGTTGCAACCGAAGTGCCCCAGGGCCAAATGATGGCATGTCACCAGGTCGACCAAACGGGTTTTTCATAGGCTGCCAAACGTTTGGTTCACGAACGACGCCCACGTTTGATTGGATTTCCATTTGATCACTTGGCCTATACTGGAGTAGTTGACGTTGGCATAGGCGTAGCCGGCGGGTAGTGGCTAGTCAAAGAGTCGTTGGGTTATTTCCCGCTCGGTTTTGAACATACCCAGCATGAACGGCATATCGCCGTCATACGCGCCAAGCCCAGAGTTCATCGTGAGCAAATCCGCCAACGTTGTGTGCACTTCGGCCTATGTGTCCTGGATTGAAACCGCGTTCTTGACAGTGTCGGACCATTCTATCCTGCCATCGTCTGCGCGCTTGGCAATTCTCATGGCAATAAACGTTGTTGCATACGATCCAATTTGAAACACCGTGTCGGACATTACGACGGCCTCGCATTGTCGCAAACGCAATGACCAGCTCTCTGTTTTCGGCCATAATTCGCCCACTGGTGTTAGAAGCAACAGTTTATTGGACACCAAGCCGAACGTAGACTACGTTGCTACTTGACAGCCATAAATTCAAGACGGCAAGAGCCACGTGATAGAACGACCGCGACTGCACATTGAACATTGGTTTGTTGAATTGATTAGATTTACCATTTTTATCCGAGTGAATGTATAGACTGCAGGACATTTTGAACATATTTTTGCGCAGACGGTCGCATTGCCTCCGTCCACGTGCCTCGGTTGAATTTTGTGTTGTAATGGGAATTGCACTTCATAATATCGTCTGTCGTAATGATAGTGATGATTATCGTTGTAGTCAACGGAGCAGACGGGAAACCAATGTACCGTAGTGCTGACAGCAAATTGACAGTAAACACCAATTTTGTGAAAGCGTTTTCCATTGGCTGTAGATTTCACGCCATGTGATTGGCTAGTTTCCCATTTCCATTGCATTTGCCATGCTTCGCTGTGGCATCATGCGGCGGGCAGGTGGCGTCCTGTCGTCGATGCAGCACCGCGCAATGTTCTCAATCAGTCCACGACAGCTGGCAGCTCGTGAAGCGGAAGTTCTTCAGACGCTCAAGCTGGTCAAGGACGACTTGGTGGGACAAGACTTGATCACACTGGGACGTGTCAAAGTACGGAATGCCATGAGCTGGAATCCACACCAACTTTGTCGCACGTAGAACTTGGAGATCTCCGACGAGCATGCCGTGTCCTGCACCATTGACTCTCCATCTCCCGTCTTGTTGCAGAATCAAGAGGTATCCGTAACTTCATTCATCGCCAATGCATCATTGATGATGGTGATGTCCTCCAGTGGATCACGCAAGCCACGGACCGCATCAAGGCGTTGTCGTGGGTCACAGGTGCCAACGTGGCTCTTTCGCATCCGACCCCAAGAAACATCCAAGCGACTCGCTCGTCCTCTCTCGCAAATGTCGGCAACATCATCGCCGTGTCCAGTTGCAAAGGCGGCGTCGGCAAGTCCACCGTCGCCGTCAACTTGGCGTTTGCGTACGCTCCCAGCCATCCATTAGCAGCCAGCACAACTATCAACATTATGTGAGTCTGTAGGTTGAAAAAGCGTGGGGCTCGTGTGGGCATTCTGGACGCCGACATCTACGGCCCCAGTTTACCCACAATGATCTCGCCCCCCGACGTGGCTATCCGCAAGTCGACAGTGAATCCGCATTTCGTGCGTCCGGTCGAGTACCAAGGCGTGCAATGCATGTCCTTTGGCTTCGTCAACAGCAAAGCCGCGCCCGGCGCCGGTGGTAAGTGCTTCAAGGCTTATGCAACAACGTTAATATGATGCGAATTCAAATCACCCTCCAAGTTCAGTATGTTGAGCAAAGCTTTTGATGTGGCGTAGGCAAAGGCGCGGCAGTGATGCGTGGGGCCATGGTGTCCAAGGTCATCGACCAGGTAATATATACGTAGTTTATTTGTAGCCGTTCGAGAGTTCAACGTGTTGTTTGTATCGGCGGTGGTAGTTGGTGCTGGGCACAGAATGGGGGGTGCTGGACTACTTGGTGATCGATATGCCCCCTGGCACTGGCGATATCCACATGTCGCTGGCCCAGCAAGTGGCCATCACGACCGCTGTCATAGTTACGACACCGCAGAAACTCAGGTAGATCAATCACGGCTATGCCGACGACTGACGTGGACATTATTGTAGCTTTGTGGACGTGGAGAAGGGCATTTCCATGTTTGAAGACCTCAAGGTAGATAGATACCAGCCAAACAGTACGAAGAGGGTAAATCCAGTTGATAGGTGCCGACGTCTGCCGTGGTGGAGAACATGTCGTATTTTGACTGCGTTCACGGCCACCGCCACTACCCCTTTGGTTTGTTCGTTATCTATCGATCGTTCATTTGTTCAACATTGACTGGGTTAGGCCATGGCTACTTGACCACCCTGCAATCACGCTACAGCATTCCGCACACGTTTCAATTGCCCATGGCCGATGCCATGAACATCAGCGTCGACACGGGCAGGTACATCTGGCTCTCTAGCCACCCTATATGCCAGAGGAAGATGGAACTTCATAGATCGGATGCAACATGTTCATGTGCTTTGTGTGTGGGGTAGTCCGGTGGTGTTGAGCGACGCGTTGCCAACTGTGACGGCCGTGTACGACGACTTGGCGACCACCGTGGCCCAAGAGTGCGTGAAGCTCAAGCACTTGGCGCGCGTGGCACCAGAGCTCTTGTTTGACAAGACCCGCGGCATGGTCCTGCGCTTCTTCTCCACTGACAGCGCCGAGGAAATCGTGCTGTCGCCCGTGGACCTACGCGCGAGGTGAATGGTGGAGACCTCATGACATCTCACGGGTATGGTGCTCTAGATGTCGATGTGCACAATGCATCGAAGAATTCACGGGGAAACAGGTACTGTACAGCTGTACTCCGTCAGAGTAAGAGGGGGATGGGAGGTTGAGGTTGATGTTGTGTGGTATAGATTTTGGACCCGACTACGATCCAAGAGGATATTCGACCGACTGCTGTGCAGCGAAAGGTATATAAGATGGACGTTGCGTGCAGTTGTGCTGACGATGTTGGGCTGTTTATGTTGAAGGGCAACTACGCCTTTGCCGTTGTGTGGAGCGACGGCCACTCGTCGTCGTTGTACACGTTCGAACATTTGCGGCAACTGGCCAAGGAAGTCCAAGACGACGCCGCTTAAGCCACGTCGAGCGAAACGCCTGGCTTTAACCTTGATAATGGAATGTTCACGTCACATGAGTGCGTGATGCGAAGCATGAAGTCGCGCCTCCATCGAAACGTGTGTCCTGCAAGTTGACTTTGGCCGTCGTTCGCCCCATGAACTTCCTCATGAAGGCTCCTTGGACTAGTGCACCTCGCCCTCACAACTTTCTTCGTGCGTTGCCACCTTCGTCACTCAACGGCACCGCACCCAACGGAATCTGCCGTCTGTTTTCAAACTCCACCACTCCTTTCAAGTGTCGATTGAAATCGTCATATTTCGAAGTAAATAGGTTCGATTTGTGTAGTTTTTATGCATTTATCGCAATGCCATACAAATGGCGAGTTAGGTTTTGACAACGGCAATAAAAATACGATTTGAAATATTGAATTTCACCTCGGAACCGGACTCGGACTCCTACCTGGTAGCGCCGTCGCACCTTCTCGTCAGCCTGCCGCGCAAGCCTCGCTACTCCCTACCAGTGTGCCAACCCATCATCACCACCTGAGCTGGACCACCTCGATACTGCCATGCTGCTCCGTCGACGTGCCACTGAGTCCTGTCCACAAGCGTCGTCCAATGTGTCGCTGAAGCGGAAAGGCCTTGCCGACTTATGTGGAGAACCACGTCAATTGGAATCAGCGATCACCCGCTCCGCCACCACGAAGAACGCCTTTTCCGCGTTCAAGCGCACCAAGTGCATTAGCTCCGACGACGCTGCCAAGAAGGTCGTTGCCGACAGTCCACGGGCCAAATGGCGCCTCCTTGACACCGAAACCAAGCTGCAGATGCAACGCGTTCCTGTCATCGAGTTTGGTCGATTTGAAATCGAGACGTGGTATCCAAGTCCATACCCCACGCACATGTACCCCGACAACAAGCTCTTTGTGTGCGAGAATTGCCTTGGGTACACGTCGACGAAGCGGTTGCTAGAGCACCATCGGAGCGACGACTGTCCATTGGCCAAGCAACGTCCTCCAGGCCGTACCGTGTACGAGGAAGCCCTGCCGGACGCTCCATCGCCCTCGTCGTCGTCGTTAATCCTCGTGGAGGTGGACGGCATGGCGAGTTCCACGTACTGCCAGAACCTGTGCCTGCTGGCCAAACTGTTCATGGACCAAAAGACTCTGTACTTCGACGTGAGCGTGTTCTGGTTCTACCTGCTTTGCATTTACGACAAGCGCAGCGGAAACGTGCATCCTGTGGGGTATTTCTCCAAGGAGAAAGCCAATCCCGACCAGTACAACCTGTCGTGCATTGTCGTGTTCCCACCCTACCAACGAAGGGGCTATGGGTCGCTGCTCATTTCGCTCTCTTATGAACTCACCAAGCGGGAGCACACTGTGGGCACGCCCGAAAAGCCGCTCTCAGTGCTTGGCCGCGCAGCGTACATGGAGTACTGGCGCTTTGTGCTCCTCACGGAGCTGTGCAAGATGGGTGGCAGCAGCAGCACCACCACTTCTTCCACAACCATATCCATTCAAAAGCTCAGCGCCGCAACTGCCATCACGCCCGACGACATCGTCGCGACGCTGCGCGAGTGCCCAGGCGTTGTCGTGTCCGACAAGTCCACCCGAGGCTCTCCTACCACGGTACGTAGTACTACACTGAAGCGCTAGTTTGAATCAACATGCTGATCTTCGCTCGTTGGTCGGTGCTGTAGAAGCCATCGTTTGGAATGTGCCTTGCCACGGCGTCGGCCTTGGTGGCTGCCTCTAGACCCGTGCGGGTATGCAAACCCCGCCAGTTGAAATGGAAACGACCCACGAAACTACGTTAACACTGTTGTATTTATACCCCACATGTCCGCAACCCACAGACGACGACCCTCTCTCTCTCTACCCTGATGGATACATATCACTTCACTTTGCACATCAAGAATGTTTGTTTAATGCAAGAGCGTTGGTTCACTAATGGCGAGTATGTTCGACTATGGTTCTAGCGTGAAGCCACACAGAGTCGTGGACGTTGGACGTCTTGTCCTTGTCTTCGTGCCATTCAAACCGCGCGTGCGTTCGATTGTGCACTTGCAACAACCCATACCCGTACCTACATCGTACACATCAACGCCCCACCATGTCCATCCTTTGGTTGTGTAATGTTTGTTACCTGGCTTTACGATACGCAGACCATACCGGGCGGGGCTCAATGTACTTGTCGGCTAGCCCTTCGCGGTTGCCTCCGTCGCCAATCGTCACGTAAATCGGCGCGTTGACCGTTCGTTCGTGTCGAAACACGGGGAACGTCCGTTCGTATGAATGCACGTGGCCAGCCAGGACCACATGCACGCGGTGATCAAACAGAAGGTCCTCCATGTCTTTGCGCATCGCATGTTGCGGCTCCACATTGCTTTGATGCGCGCGGTTGCTGCTGTACCATGGCCCGTGCATCATCACCACGATCCAGGGAGTCACTCGGCGGTCCACCCGTTCCAAGTCGCGGGCGGCCCACTTGAACTGGATGGATGCGCGGTAGGTTGGGATGTACGGCGTGAGCACGACGACATGGACCGATGCGACGTCGAACGAGTAAAACAAATTGCCCCGCGTGGCGCCGCTCTCGTGAAAGGGCATGCGGTAGCGTGCTTGGTACGCGTCAAAGGTAGTCAATTGGCATGACGTTTCAATCTCGTGGTTGCCAGCGGCCATCATCCTACGTCCAGTACATGACAGCCTGTGGCCATGGAACGAAGATACCAAGGAATGGCAGACGTCGAGGGTTCCACAAACGTCCCCCATGCATCCCATCGCGATTGAACCGTGTCGGCGTAGGAGAGGTCGCCTACGATGTTTCAATCATGGTTGGCAAAGTGGTGGTGTGATCTGAAGGGTACCAGCGAGGAGCACAGCGTTCACTAATGGATTCTTCTGGATGTACCCGAGCGTTTCCAACGAGTAATTGGTTTGTCTAGGAGGTAAGAGGTTCATGTAATGGATGACACGCGAGGGGACATATACCCCAAGTCGCCGAGAATGCCCAGGGTCAGCGGTGTATCGACATCGCCGCGCTTGGGGGGCGTGCGAAAGGAGAGAACTTTAGACCACCCCGATTCGTTCCCGCCAACGACATCTACGTGAGTCAACCGTCAACACAATAACGAGAGGCATAGAAACAACTGGGACGTACAGAAATACTGCGCGTTTGGCTCCAACGATGGCAACAGAACGTGGTGGTTGTACCCTGATGTGTAGTGGCAAAATTTATACTGCGAGGCCGGTTGAGTGGCGCGGCTTTCGAGGTCCAACGACGCGTTGTGCTGACCGTACTTCACGCGGGATTCCCCTGCTGTCGCCGTGACCCAACTGATTGTCATTCCAGCTGACTCAATTCCCCCGATGGCAATATGCACTTGCTCCGGTCTCCCTGAAGAGGCAGCATGTACAGACGGTATCGTCCACGTCATACAGATAAGTATCCCGCCCATCCAAATCGCCGCAGCTATCGCCTTCATGCTTCCACTTCGTCGTAGTGTCGCGATCTTTGGAATATGCGGAAGTCATGGTGAACTTATCCGGACATCTGTGTATCCGGATATGTTCCCAACATCCGGATACGTAGCCCACCTTATGCTCCGGATAACACAACCGTAGAATCGCAACGAACAGCCTTCGCTTCCGCTCCTACAGAACGTCGCCAATGCTGCCGCTAGTGACGATGATGCCGACGAAAGCGGAGACATCCGTCGTGTGTCTAGTGGTCGCACCCACAAGCTGTTTGGGGCGTTCGTGTTGTGTGCTGGAGTCCGTTTCCCATACGAATTCCGAGAGGTTTCAGGGTAAGTAAGGGGTGGTTTGCTGCCAGCCAATGACGACGGGCCTGGTGATAAAATTCGCTTGTACTGGGTCTCTCTATGGAGATTTATTACCAGCAGGGACTATCCGTCCTCGCACTAGTATTTCTCGGTCGGTTGTCTGGGTGGCCACCAGTGTTACATATCGCGCAGTAGACGACCATGAAGAAGTCTGAACTGGCCAAAGCCATCCGCAAGATCCTGGGCGCGTCCGACCTTGAGACCATGAGCCGCAAGATGGTGCGCAAGCAGCTCGAGACCACGTTCGGCGTGTCCATGGAAGAGTACAAGAGTTTCATCAACGAGGAAATCACCAAAGTGATTGAAGAGCAGGAGGAGGACGACTCGGGCGACGACGAAGAGGAGGTCGATGCGCCGCCCCCGGCCAAGAAGGCCAAGAAGGCGAGTGGTGCGGCCAAGGTGAAGGCGGAACCGAAGAAGCGCGCGCCGCGAAAGAAGAACGAGGACGGGAGTGCCACCGGCGGGTTCGCCGTGGAGATGCTGCTGAGTCCGGAACTGTCGGAAGTACTGGGCATCACCCAAAGCAGTCGGCCGCAACTCGTCAAGAAGATGTGGGAGTACATTCGCGAGCAAGGGCTGCAAGACCCGAACGACAAGCGCACGATCATCCTCAACGACGCCCTCAAAAACGTCTTCCAGCGCGACTCGTTCACGATGTTCTCCATGAACAAGTACCTGAAGCGACACGTGCTCAAGCCGGAGGACCTGCCGGCCACGGGATGGGCCGACATCCAACGCGATGGCGAGTCGAGCGAAGAGGACGAGGAGAAGACCGCCGAGAAGGAGCGCAAGAAGGCAGCCAAGTTGGCACGGAAAACACATCTCAAGGAGACGGGCGAGAAGCCCAAGCGCGCGCCGCCCGCGCCCAACTCTGGCATCAACGCGCCGCTGACGTTGTCGGAGGAGCTGTCAGACCTGTTAGGGGAAGTCCAGATGAGCCGGCCGCAGGTGGTCAAGAAGCTGTGGGAGTATATCAAGGAGAACAACCTGCAAAATCCAGACAACAAGCAAGAGATCAACTGCGACGACACGCTCACGCACTTGTTTGGCGAGGACAAAGTCACCATGTTCACCATGAACAAGCTGCTCAAGCCGCATTTGCTGGGCAAGGCCAAGCTGGAAGCAGTAGACGACCATGCATAGACAGACGAACCAACGACCCCATCCGTTGTGGAGCGAATTGACGACATCATAAACCACAAATATGTACACACGATTACCCTGTATCTAGTGAGGTTTTATCGCAAGCGATCCAAACATGCTAGTATAGATAGCTTTAAAGGTCGAGCAACCCGCGATTCTGTTCCTCTTTGGTCAGCTTTTCCTGCTCCAGAGTCTCCTTGGCCAATTGGTACTCCGCGGCAATCTGGTCGGTGGGTTGCGTGGTGGCGTATGCCGACCCGAGGTAGGTCGAATCGGCCGCGGCTACCTTGGCGTACTTGAGAATGGCTTCGCGCGGGTCTTCGCTACGGATGGACTCGCTCTTGATCTGGTCGCGCATGAAGAACTGCGTGAGCGTGCTGCCGCCCGTGCTGCCGCCAAAGCCGGGGCCGGTGATGGGTTTCGATGGTTTCTTGGACGCAATCGGGTCCAGTCGGATCTGTGTTGTGCAACCCCATTCACGCCACAAAACAGCAGCGATTACAACTCGACCACATACAAGATACGGTACGAACCTTGGCGTATTTGCGCTTGGTCGGCTTTGCGTTGGCGTCGCGGTACATGGGCAACGCATGGGGGTTTACAATGGCGCCGTCGCTGGACTCGTCGATCCGGACGTACCCGGCGCTGGCCAGCGGCAGCTTCTTCGTAGCACTCAAGAGAACCCCCTTGGTGCTGATAGCTTCATCGTAGAACACGCGCACGGTGCCAGCGCTCGACCCGACAAACACCTAATCCAGTTGGGATTTAACATCAGGTACACATCGTACACCCAAGGGAAGAGTGGAGTACCTGGTTGATCTTAGGATGCCACGCCACGCATACGGCACTTTCGTCTGGGTGCATGTCGATGGCGGTGAGGGGGGCGGTCACCGCCGTGAGGACGTCGAAGAACAGCACTTGGCCATGCCGTTCCTTTCCAGTCGGGACCCCCGTGCCAACTGCCACGGCCGTGCCGGTTGCATTGAACGCCATGTTGGCGACTGCAAAGTGACTGGGGACGTCTCTCAGCTAGACATTGTTTGGATTGTTATATATCAATCTATTATATATATACCGTTTTCAAGGGCGATGCCAGTTTGCGAATATCCCACAGCTTGACGCAGTCGTCGCTGCACGACCGTGTGCCAAACACCTTGTCGTTGGCAAAGCGGATGCTAGACACACTCAAATCGGGGCTTCCGGCGGCGTGCGCCCCGGGCATCTTGACCGCTGCCGTCGTCGTCGTGGCTCGACGCAGGTCGTAGCCGAACACGGAGCCCTCGGTCGTCGCGCCAAACACGAGGCTGCCGTCAGTGTTGTACGCACACGCGGTCACTTCGATGCGCTTGCCCTGCTTGCTCTTGAACTTGATCACTTGGTCGTTCAGGAGCTTGTTGAAGGCAGTCTTTCCGTCCAGCTTCCACAGCCGGACGGTGCCGTCCAGCGCACACGTCGCCATCGACTGCTTGAGCGTCGGGTGCCACGAGCCCCCCGTGCACGTGTGCGTGTGCCCCTTGGTGTGCACCATGTCCATCACGTACATGTCGCCCTTTACAAACTGCGTCTCCTTGACGCCTTCCCGAGATAGCACCGTCGGCTGCGATGACCCTGTCACAGACAGCACCTACAGATCGACCTTTTTTCAGCGTTTGCATGTAGAAGATGGAGGAGGCGCTACCCGATCGCCAGTAGGGCTGTAGCTCAACGCGACGATCGCATGACCTTCTTCGACTTCAGTGTCTCGAAATGGCCGCACTTGGCGCGCCATGCCGGCGAAGTCCCACAGCTTCATGTGGTAGTCCATCGACCCCGTGGCCACGCGCGCGCCAGGGGCGTCCACCGCGATGCTCGTGATGGACTTGGTATGCGACGTCAACACGACTTGGTTTTTCAGCGGCAAGTTGTATCTAGGTGGGGATGAGATGGTTTACATACAGCATGGAGACGGATGGATGGACGCACCGCAGCGCGAGGTCCCGCGCGTAGGAGTCTGCACTGGTGGCGGCATTGTCGTCGTCATCACTATCAGACTCTGGGCCGTCGGAATCGACTGTCTCGGTAGGTTGTTGTTGCTTGTTGGGATTGTTCTGCGGGCCACGAGGGACGGACGACCGCGGTTTCTGGTTGTTCACTTCGTGAGTGGTATTGCCGACTTCGTCCGCGGAAACAGCGGGGACATGCGACACCTTGGGCGCTTGAGTCATCATTTCCATCGTCATGCGGCGGATCTCCTCGTCTCGCGCTGCCCGATCGGCGGCTTTCTGCGATTGTTTCACGTTGTTGGTCGTGGCAAACCCTGTGGGCAATTGCGCCATGTCCGCGAGCGACGACGATGACGCCCCAGAAGAAATCGCTGGCGCTTGGTTGTACCCACGAAGAATGTACCTGCGCGAACTGGCGCCAAACACGATCTCGGACCCGTTGTCCACCGCCTTGCGGAATTCGTTGGGCTCTGAGAGTTCCACGCCGTCGACGGTCGTGCCTTGCGCCGACTCCAAGTCCATCACCTCCAATGTACCTGCTTTGGTATGCACAATTGCAGCATGCTGTCGAGAGATACTGGGATGGGCCAATTCAAAGTCGCATACGTCGGCGTTCCGACCGAGGACGTAGCATGCTTGTTGCCCGATGGGTAATTTCTCGGCAACCACTCCATCCTTCCACACTTCCAGATACGTCTTCGAGTTCAAGCGTGTCGGCACTCCAGCCCTATACCATCACAAGCATCAGTTAGATGTGGTAAGGAGGATATGGATGCGCAGGTACCATTTCGGCGTTGGGAAGCGCTTCGACATGTTGTGGGGTCTTGAGATTTGTTAGTGGGATTCGAGTAACACTAATTAAGGTCACTTGGTAACACTATACTAGTATGAGGACCAATTAGAGTAAAAATATGCATATTTTAATTGTGAAGGGCATTAACTTTAATTTTATTGTACTTCGTTCTGTAATCTTTGAAGTGTAGAATAAATACAAATAATATTAATACACTATTTTTTCCTGTACTCCACACACCATTTTTAAGGTTACACTATTTCCGTTTGATGAAATTCGTAGCAACGCCAATCCAACGGGTAAGGTGCCGCGGGTTCGAAGTGCACATCAAGCGGGACGATGTGCACTTCTTGTCAGGCAACAAGGTATTCCACCCAGCGACACGACCAGTGCTGATTTTGGTCTTAGTTTCGGAAGCTCTTTTGGCTCATGGAGAAAGATGCATCTTACTTTGCAGGTGCCTCACGCAATGTGAACAACAGTCGAATCAACGATGCGTGGCGTGGTAGGCAACCATCTCTTGAGCTACGGTGGTATCCAAAGCAACGCTATGCTGGCGGTGGCGCAACTGGCCCAACAAAAGCAAGTTCCATTCACTTACTTCACCAAGCCCGTTCCCGCTCAGCTCATGGACCGCACGAAGGACATCCAGACCAACTTCAGCTTGGCCAAGGCACTTGGCATGCAGCATGTGACTCTAAGCGAGAATCAATACGACGTTCTCGCCGACACGCATGACTTTTCCCCCGTCGCTCCTCCAAACGCAACAACGTGGCTTGGGGTTCCCCAAGGCGTCGCGGTACCAGAAGCCGAGCTCGGGATTCGACGCCTCGCACACGAACTCAACGAGTATGCAGAAACCTACGCCAATGTACGCCATACCATAGTCTGTCATACAATGATGACATGCAGCAGCATTAGAATGTTGCGGTGGTGCTTCCATGTGGAACCGGCACCACGGCCCATTACGTTGCCAAACACGTGCACCCTTCTATCCACGTGTATGGCGTGCCATGCGTCGGAAATGCGGCTTACTTGCGGCAACAAGTGGCCAAACTCGAATCATCTTCAGGTAGATGATCGAAGGATACATATTATACCATGCTGGGTTCACATTATGACGTAGGGCCGAGCCCTCTACGGGTGCTGGAGCCAAGAAAGCGCGTGGCCTTCGGTACGTTGTGGCGTCCTTTGATGGATGTCCATGCCGAGGTGCTTGAGGACACTGGAGTCGAAATTGACTTGGTATATGGATGCCTTGCGTGGGATACCATGCTGCATGCGTTGCACCTGCTCCAGTCGTTTGAAGGCCGGGAAGTCGTGTACGTCCATTGTGGAGGTCTTAGCGGGAACGCCAGTCAGCTCGAACGCTATAGAAACAAATACAAGAACATGTAAGCTTACCTGTTTATACTGCTATTGATACTGTAGTAATGCTTTAAAAAAGCAGAAAAAAATATCAGTTTATTTGGAAAAAAGAGTTTCCTCCTTATTTCTAGGCACAGTAAGAATGTCCCAAAAATTGGGGCAACGCCAACTGGGTAAAACGTGTTTTATGTGGAGACTATTGGGAGATACGTGTATTTTTACGTGAAAATCCAATCCTAAACTTGGAGTTAAACCCACAGTTGAACCCACCCATTTCTCCTCCGGCTCGTATCCGGACAATCCCGCCGAACCGCAGAAGAAGAGCCGCGAACGACAAACGAGAGAAGAGATGCTGCGCCAGACACTTCGAAAGCATGTTGGACATGTGGGCACTCGCCGCGTATTCAGTTCGATTGGGTTGAGTCAGCCAGAGGTGGAGACCGCGGTCCCCGTCGTCAACCTTGTAGTTGAGGAGACCGCCGTGGACAGTGACGAATTGGGGCGCAAGCTGAAGCCCAAAGAAGTTGTAGACCAGCTGAACAAGTACATTGTGGGGCAGAACGACGCGAAGAAGGCCGTCGCCGTGGCACTGCGCAACCGATGGCGCCGCCAACAGCTGCCGGACGACTTGCGTCCTGAAGTGAGTCCCAAGAACATTCTCATGATCGGGCCCACGGGGTGCGGCAAGACGGAGATCGCGCGTCGCCTGGCCAAGTTGGCGCAAGCTCCGTTTGTCAAGGTGGAAGCGACCAAATTCACGGAAGTGGGGTTCCATGGTCGCGACGTGGACCAGATCATCAAGGACTTGTTGGAGAACTCGATCCAGTTGGTGAAGAAGCATCGCATGGAGCGCGTGCGGAAGGACATCGCGGGGGTCGTGGAGCAGCGCATCATCGATGCGTTGGCGGGACAGCACACGGGGGCGCAGTCTCGTCAGACGTTTCTGCATCTGCTTCGGTCGGGGGAGCTAGACGAGCGCATGATCACGGTGGACGTGCGCAGCTCGGGCAACGCGGGCAACATTGGGTCCATCTCGATCGACCCGTCCGGCAAAGTGAACTCGAACTCGTCGACCGTGAATGACCTCATGAAGGTGATTTCTGGCGGGAAAAAGTTGGAGAAGAAGCAACTGAGTGTGGCGGACGCGCGGCCGATCCTCGAAGAGATGGAGCTCGAAAACGCCATCGACATGGGCGACGTGATCAAGGAAGCGATCACCGAAGCGGAAGAGAACGGCATTGTGTTTATCGACGAGATCGACAAGGTACAAGTTCATCTTTTAACATAATCGATCTCATGACAATGTAGATTTGCTCGTCGGGGGCGTACCGCGGCGCCGACGCGAGCGACGAAGGCGTCCAGCGGGACCTTTTGCCGCTCATCGAAGGCAGCACCATCTCCACCAAGCACGGGAACGTGAACACGGACCACATCCTGTTCATCGGGTCTGGCGCGTTCCACTCTGTGAAGCCATCCAACTTGCTGGCGGAACTGCAAGGTCGGCTGCCTATCCGCGTCGAGCTCAAGGCACTTACGGAGAACGACCTGTGGCGCATCCTCACGGAGCCCGTGGCCAACTTGATCATGCAGCAAAAGGCGCTGCTGGCGACGGAGCAAGTGAACTTGACCTTTGACGACGACGCGATCAAGGAGGTGGCGCGCGTGGCGTACGAAATCAACCACACGGTGGAGAACATTGGTGCCCGCCGGCTGCACACGGTGCTCGAGAAGGTCGTGGAGGACATCTCGTTCGAAGCGTCCGACTACCCCGACGGCCACGTGCTCACGATCACCAAGGAGATTGTGCACGACCGGATTGGTGCCATGCTCAAGAAGTCGGACCTGTCCAAGTATATCTTGTAATAAGCGCGGATAATAGCTTTTGTCGGATATAATACATACATTCCGTGACGGTTACATCGTGAACCTGTGACGAAGAGTGTTGGTCCAGGACAGTTCCAGCGAACCGGCGCGACGCGAAAGTTGACCATGTCGATGGTCAAAACCCAAGCGTACCAACTGGACCTCCGTGCCAAACGGGAAACTAACCCGGTTTTGTCGCAAACGTATGGCCGACACATTCTCCTTCAGAAGGCACACATGCAGCTGTACCAGGCCATCCCGCACACGGCGCGGGCTCGACAAGGCAGTCCATTGCATCAACGCAGCAACAGCACAGGGAACAACGACGGCTCGCAAAGTGCACGGGAATGGACAGAGCATGACGACGCCCGCGTTCCAGTCAAAGGCATGCTCTTGGAGCACATCCTGGAACAGCGACAAAAGGCCCACGATGACCTTGCGCAGCTGCAGTTGGCTTCCCCATCTACAACGACACCCATCGTGGAAGAATTGGAGGAGATGCTGCGGCGAATCCCCGCGCACACTGTAAAGCGATTCATCGCGAGTAAGACGCCGGCGGACACAGAGGGAGACGACCACATGCCTTTGCGGGGCTGTCGCGATACCTCCACGGACACGGCTGTGTCATGGCTTAGAAAGCAAGAGTATTTCACACGTAAAGGTCGCGTATTGGAGCGGGACAAGGCGGCGTTCCTTGCGTTGCACATGAAGGCCCTGAGCATGGAGCTCAGTCGCGCCATCAACAGCTTCGACGACGCCAGGGACTTGGAAGGTACTGCCGCTGTACATACGTTCGTGTGTCCTAGTGTCATACCATTTAAACCACTAGCTCGATTATTGGTGCAAAAGCAGATGCAGTTGCAAGCCACGATGCGGGACACCGTGGCCAGCATCGCCCAGCTCAAGGCTAAACGAGCCCACGGTGTCCCTGTTCTCGTTTCGGACGTGGACGACTGTCGAAGTCAAATCGACTCGACGGAAGAGGCCATCTTGCACGTGCAATCCAAGCATGCCGAGCGAGTGGAGGAGCTTCTACGGCTCGAGCGCAACCTCCAGCGAGATGTACGTGGCCAGACCAACAGAGTTCATCATGCCCACACCTTATATCAGTCCACATGGGCTGGCTCTAACTGTGACACTGTTCACCCACGGGTTCGGTGTGTAGTTGACAACGTTTGAAACCAAGATGGGATCGTGGGATTCCCATAACCAAGCCAAGGTCGTGGGCACGCGCGTGCTCAATCGAGCGCAGAGCCTCTTGCGTCGGAACGGTCTCGTGTCGGTCACGGGTGACCGCAACAACGATCAGCAAGTGCCCGAGTGCCAAGACGACGCGAACCGAGTGCGCGCACTGGACGCGCTCATCCTCCAGACCGGGCAGGGCTGCGGTGGATGGGACGCCACCGACCACGCAGCGTTCGTGTCTGCGCTGCGGCACTTGGGGTGGACAGACGGGACTCTAACTTCCCGCTTGCAAACGCACGAGGAAGGGCTCGATGCTCTGCAGGTGGAGGCCGTTGTGCGACGATGTGCAAGTAGTGGCGTACTGGTAGGCAAGTCCTCCGACTCCGTCCGTACGCACTTGGAGTGGTACTTCAGTCACATGAAACTGGTGAACGAGAAGCGCCGAGCCATCGCGAAGTGGAAAGGCCGCCGACAAGAACAGCGGCGGGCGTCGGGGGTATCAAGTGCCCAAGCACCTGTGGTGGTCGACGACGCACCGAACGAACGTCGAGTGCACGAGCGTGCAGACACCAAAGCGCAAGTGCGCGCATGGCGCGCCGAACGGCGAGTGCAGCAACAACACCAGGCCAGCCAAGGCAGTTCAAGCAACCAGCTCACGTCGTCATCGGCTTTGGATGCATTGGTACCAACGATGGGATATGTGACATATCAAAATAATGAACGTAAATGGATGGTTAGAAGCGACTGGAAACCAAGCAAAAGGTGGCCCTGTACAAGCTGCAAAAGGAGGAAGACCTGGCACGACAACAGGCCGCCGCCGAACTCGTTCGGAAGGCAACGTTGGCTCGACAGCCCTCCAAGGTTTTATGTGACAAAGGACATTCTATGCTTATGGTAACTATTGTAGAAACAACTCGATGCGACATCCGATGCCGCCATCGCCATGGCCAAAGTTAAATTGGACAAAGTGCAGTCTCAGCAAGCCGCCATCCAACAGGCCGCCACCCTTCCCCAGCGCCCCAAATTGCCCCTGTTTGTCCCCAAAGACTCCACAGTAACGCAGCCAACCAAAGCATCGGCTGCCCGGGGCACCACCCCCAACGAACTGCAAGCGCAAGCTACTGCCCGACACACTTCCGGTGCCCACGAAGCGTACGTTCCTGGTTTGGCAGGGGCGGGACATGTGAAAGGCAAGAGTTTCGGACATGTGTCCAGTCAACCGCGAGCGGTGCCGACATGGAGGCGGCGTGGGTAATAAGAATACACGTACGATCTCGGGCAACGCCCTTGTTCCCCAATCGAATTGGCCCCACATTGGTAGTAAGACAGTAGGTTTATTGTGTTACACAGAGTTCCCAGCATACTGTACCGCATCATGGGCAATTGTTGGTGAACTGGGCCTGGCATTATTGCTGTCACTTTAGTGAAATAACGTGAAGAATCTCGTCCAACTCTTGCAGGAAAAAGGGAACTGGGCAGTGATTTACAACCACACTTCCATCATAGTACAGGGGAAGGCCTCCTCAATTCTAAGGTTACTTCGCGATCGTCAACAGGGACCGCTGCGGCAGAATAGGTGGAACGTTCCCTTCAGCAGAGTCGCTCCAGTGCTTCTGTTGCATGGCCATTACAACTAAGCGAGCATATGTTTGAGTTTGACCATCGAGTTGGCCAATAGGAATGCAGGACAAAGATCACCTAGAACGCGCTGTGATTGGTCGAATCGTTGCACGTCGGCAACCAGATTGCGCATTTTCAGATCGAAATCGGAATGCTGAGGCGGTGGTTGAGTAGTTCGGCGACGGCGGCTGTGGAGAAGCAGCGCTTGCCGCTGGAAGGTATCCGAGTGGTCGAATGCGGCCACTTGATCGCTGGTCCGTTTGCGGGCACGATCTTGGGGTACTTTGGGGCTGAAGTGATCAAAATCGAGCCGAAAACTGGCGACCAAGTGCGGGAGTACCGCATGGTGGACGACGAGCATCGCACGTCGCTGTGGTGGTATTCCATCGGTCGCAACAAGCACAGCGTGTCTGTGGACCTCAAGAGCGAGAAAGGCCAGGCCATTGTCAAGCGACTCGTGGACAAGAGCGACGTCGTCATCGAGAACTTTCGCCCAGGCAAGATGGAGCAGTGGGGCCTCGGTCCCAAAGAGTTTGAAGCGACCAACCCAGGCTTGATCTATTCCCGCATCAGTGGATATGGGCAGACAGGGCCCAATAAAGGTGCAGCACATCCTCCATTCTCGTACTAACATGTGGACGCAGGCAAGCCGGGGTTTGCAAGCGTCTGCGAAGCCTTTGGCGGGTTCCGATACGTCAATGGGTTCCCCGACCGACCGAGCGCGCGGCCTAATTTGAGCCTGGGAGACACCATGGCGGGGCTGCATGCGGCGCTTGGCATCACGATGGCGCTGCTGGGAAAGGTCCGGCATGTTGGCGGCACGGGGCAAGTGGTGGACGTGGCCATCTACGAAAGCATGTTCAACGTACTGGAAGCAATTGTGCCCGAGTATTCGTACAACGGAACGATCCGGGAATGTTCTGGGTCCACGATCACAGGCATCGTGCCATCCAACACGTACCATACACTCGACAACAAGCAAGTGGTCATTGGCGCCAACATGGACTCGCTATATCTCAAGGTAGCATGTCCTCCATGTCCACGGTATCGTGCTTAGTACACGAGAAATGTAGATGATGGACTTGATTGGCAAGCCCGGACTCAAGGCGCACAACACGAACGCCATGCGCGTGGTACATCAGCAAGCAATAGACGACGCCATCGGGAGCTGGACCAAAACGCTACCTCTCGCAGAGATTGTTCGTCAACTGGACGCGGCCGCCATCCCCGTGCGTTCTTGGTGATGAAAATGAAGTGATATGTTGACATTGTTGCATCACGAGTAGGTGGGACCCATCAATTCAGTGGCCGACATGGCAAACGATGAGCATTTTGCACACCGTCACATGTTTGAAGACGTGGTCGTCCCGGGGTATTCGAAGCCACTGAGCCTTCCGTCGATCAGCCCCAAGCTCCAGTCGACCCCCGGACAGACCAAGTGGCCAGGGCAACCGCTGGGCAGCGGCACGCGCCACGTCCTCACGACAGTGCTCGGGCTCTCGGCGGCGCAAGTGGACGCTTTGGTCACTGATCAAGTTGTGTTTGAACAGCAAACAACGACGAAGTAGTCATCGAATCTGTCGTTGTAACTCGTTCCAATGGATATATATAATGAGTACAGCATGTTCACTGAGCATTCACATATACATGCTTGTGTAACACGTACAATGAAGCAACAAGGTCGTGTGTTAATAACAGCAAGAGCGTGTTAGTAGGATTTAAACAAGAATTGGTCGATGTCTTGGTCGGACTTCGCGGTGCGATGTTTGGATGGATGAGGATTGAAAGGCCGCCGCGGCAGGGTTGCAACGAACGAATCGATGCGAAGGGGGATGGGTACGAACATGAGTACAGTGCATGGATGGTGCCGAGTAGGGCGATGTGGAGGCATGTACAGTACATGCGGCACCATGAATGGCTCTTGAAACGGACGGGGGCGACGTCGGTCGAACACTGGCGCGGCCACGGGTGTTGGCTCTACAATTTTGGCTTTCCGTCGTTCGGAGTGCATGGAGCGCAGTTGGTCGGCTAGTAGATAGGGCCACCTTGGTGTTGGGCGTGCACTTTGTTGATGTAGTTGCCCACGACATACTGTAGGTTGGGGTGCTGCTGGGTAGCTGGCGAGACCACAACCAGCACTGTCGGTGTACTGGTTGGCTTGCGGTGTAGGCAAGCACTTCAGCGCACCAGTAGCCGCATTCGCAGGCAATGCAAAGGTCGTTGCAGTCTGATATGGCAATTGAATTGTGTGCCACTGCATGGAATTTCAATCGTGGAGGGAGCAACTTGAATACAAAACAAAAGATTATCAACACAATTCAATTCCCATATCAGACTGCAACGACCTTTGCACTGCCTGCGAATGCGGCTACTTGTGCGCTGAAGTGCTTGCCGACACCGCAAGCCAACCAGTACACCGACAAGTCGTGTACGTACACATGTGCAGTCATGCTGCTTCTGCAGAGCGATCTCCTCGGCAAATACAGCGCTCTGCCCCCCCTTTCCCTTTGAGTACCAGGTCAAGTCCTTGCCTACACTTGTCCATGAAGAAATCATGGTGGTACTTGGTATCCTTGTAGCTTTGACCCCGCGAATGACCCAGGTAGTTTTGGCGGTACTTGTCGTTCTTTACATCGTCCTACTTAACTCTAAGCCATGGTGACGTTATCTGCATTCTCGCTCCGTCTAACAGTAAACTTACGACCTTGACCATTGCGGGTGTGCCCCCGAAGCGATTGTTTGTCGATTATTATCCGGATTTACGGATAATCAATCAGCACCACGCCGTTAGCTCCAATTAGCTCCAATATATCCAACAATGGTCATGTGGAAGTTGAGACTTGCTTCCTGCGACCACACGTTCGTCGAGCCGACTTGGGCAATCACCTTGTTAGCATGGCGCTTTGGTGCAAAACCGGTTTCGTCCATATTGTAGACACGGGCAGCATCGTTTCCAACCAATACTATTGCTGCCTTGATCTTAGCGTACAGTGCGTCGACATCGTCATCGGTGACGAAGTTCCGTGCGTTCGAGATGCTTTGGGACTTGCGATGTGTGAGGTCGTGGCTACGTTTCATGAAGCCATCGTACCATCCACGTGTCAATGTGGCGCCTGGAGTAAAACCGTCGATAATCTTGGTGGCCCCTTCGATCAACTCGTCGGCAGTCACCGGCATTTTTCTGGCTTGCATTGCCAGGGCCCACTCCCTGAGATCGCTCTCCATGTCGACCGTAAGCGCCAGCTTTCGACCACGCTGCTTCATCTCGTCGCCAGATCGTGCTCGGCGGACGGCTTCTTTCAACGTGGTTTGTGGGATCTTGGCATCGTTGGCGATGTAGTTTACGCTCTGTCCATTCTCACTATCCAACGCTTGGTCCAATGCAGCGGCAAATTGGTCTCGTGAATAGAGTTTCATTTCGCAAGTGGCGCAATTTTGAGTCGAGCGGGAAATAAACCTTGGAAGCATTGTAAGTTTGATATATTTAATGTTATGAGTATTTGATAGAAGAGGAATTAGTTTTGTCCAATCAATTTCACTTGATGATTGTGATTGGCTGTCAACTGGGCGGAAATTACATGGTGGGCGGAAATTACATGAATCACCTTAATCCTTAATGCAAAGTGATTTCTTGTGTCGATATGTGTACCATGGGCATCGGTTGTTTGTATGCCAGTCCGGCATTGCAAAGCACGAGTTCGAATGCAATTGTGATTACCCCGGCAAACTCATAAGAAGCATAAATATTGATGATATTAAGGTCAAATAACTAAATAGGACACTCAAGTGCTTCAAGGCAGCAATGCACCATGCATGTTGATGGCGCATTGCATGAGCGGCATGAGATGCGATTCGCACAACATCTTGTACGACCAGTCCAAGCCTCGCACGAACATCCGCTTCGAGTTATGCAGCCAGTCACTGCCGACAACTTCGTCCCGCCATGAGCTCTGAATGCCGTGCATCGTGAATGCCACGGAGAACGGCGCGTCGTCGTCCTCGTCGATGACGGAGCTGACACTCAACCGCTCACCTTGGTTGCAATGGTCTTCGTTGTCATGTGGCCACGAGTCTTGTGGAGTTTCCAGCATGCTGGAGAAGTCGATAGCCTCGAGGGCGGCAATGAGCTCGTCAATGCTTTGGGTTGGTGTAGGCATCAAGTTGATGACGTCCTCCAGGTCACCCCACTG